GACTGAGTTAACTCTAAATGTATTGTCACAGATCCTGATCCTCCAAACGGCCAAAAACAAGGCATCCATGGCTCTGGGGTTCTTTCTTAAAGCTGCAAAGAAACCCGACTTTCCATCCAGGTATTCTACGCCGTCTTGTTTTGCTTTTGATATTAATATTTAATATGTGAACAATTAAAATGTTTAATTTAGTAACTTCTGTGCACTTAAAACTACATCAGTGTTCAATTTTATAGCAGTAGGTTAAACAATTCTCTAAAATATCTAATTAGGCTTCATCATAGTGTTAGAAATTACCCGGTTCTTTTGTTGGAAGCGTGAGAAGTGAAGACAGGAGAGGACTGTTTAAAATCAACAGGAAGTTTACTCAAAGTCTGGGCACAGTGAAGTCATTACATCGCTGGATTCAGAGCTCCTGCAGAAAAACCGGCTTCTGAATCACGAGCTATCTTTTTACATTACAATTATCTTCTTGGGCTAGGTCCGCCCTGGACAGGAGTACAACATGCAGAACAAAGCAGGACCTAGTGAGTAGGCTAAACCGGCCTCAGTGAAGGTATAAAACTGGCCAACAGGTCTTTGTTAAAATGTAAAATAGGCCGTCTGATTACTGGAAGATACAGACATCCTGTCTCGACACAGAAGTTAAAGCAGGCAGTATCACTTGACTCATCAATACAATTGTAATATATATAAGGAAAATAAATGGATTAAAAGTAACCAAAGTTCAGTAGTTCTGGACAATCATCAATACAGCTGTAATATGTATAAGTAAGGAAAATAAAGTAATGAAAAGTAAAGCTTATAAGAATCAAATCTTTTCAGCTCAGCTTTTCAGTCATTTCAAGGGTAATTTGAAAACTGACAACTTTACTACAGTCAACCTTGTAGAATTTAAGAATATTTAATACTGAAACACTGCACATCTTAACTTGATTGCAATTTTGTTTTAGTGCATGTTCAAGAGTGAGTGGGGACAGTGGACCTGAGACTGTGGATGTTGGAGGCTGCGGTAAGGGAAGCTTCAGGGAGAAGTGTCCCCAACCAAAGAACATCTTAAAGTGAGTAGTTTTCAGAATTTTTTTGTTTGATTTTTCTGCCTGTTTTTTTTATTTTGGTTTAATGGAATGTCCTCCACACTTAGTTTTTTTTTTGTGTTAAGGTGGACCAGATGTTTGTGGAACAAGATAACTTGGTCTATTTTGTCTTTGTTTTCCCCCACAGCCTCCCTCCAGTACAAGATGATCTTGACAGTGAGGGATGGAAAACAGGAAGTCAGTCATGTCAACCCTCATGAGGACATTGAGGTTAGAGAGACTGTTTAATGACAGTTTTTGTAAACAAAAACAACTTGTAGAATATAGACCAAAGATTTCATGGTGGATCATGCAGTGCAGAACTAAGAGTCCTGATGCTGTATCTTGGATGTTTAAAACCATCTGATTCTGCTTTTAAGTAATGACTAAGCATGACTAAGGCATTAGGAAGACAGGTCACCGAGTCATCCACAGAGGAGGTGTGTGTTTGTGGATGAACAGCGGCTTATAAAAATGAAAACGCATGGTACCATTTCAGCATGATTCAGGTTTTGTTTACAGCAGCAGCCTGTAACAAGATTCATTAGGCTTTTAGAAGAATGACTAACCTTACTACTTGACATGTGACTGACAACTATTAGGTTATAGGAAAGACAGGCATTTAGGCATAAAAAAGGATTTATTGACTTCACACACTGCACCTAGTAATGTCTGAAAGCAGCATAATTAAGAGAATACATTTGTCAACCAGAGGTGTACAGCAAGTAACTGCTTAAGAGAATCAGTCCCTTTAAACGTATCCCATTTGTTTCTAGATTTGTAGCTATCGTGATGATCAGGAACTTTGTTACTCGAGGTCGGGCATGTCTGCATAGCCTTCTGCTTCCTCCTGCCTCCTCCTCTCCTCCTTCTCCTCCTCTGCCCTCCTGTTCTCCTCCATCACCCTCTTCATCTCCTCCTCCACTTCCTTCCTCTTCAAATTCTGCACGTCATCCTCTATCTTCTTCTGCTGAGCCCCCGTCTTTTCATTCTGTGGCGTGTCGTAGGCCCACTCCTCATCTGAGTCGCTGATGTCATCATCATCGATGTCCCAGTCGGGCCGCTGGTACTCGCTGGTTTGGGTGAAGGAATCCTCGATGGGCTCAGGCTCGGGCTCAGGCTTGAAGTTTGGGTCCTCCAGCTTACCCCAAGCCACCTGGTCGGCCTTACGCAGGGAGATCTCCACTTTGGACGGGACCATGTTGACCGAGCACTGTTTGACGTCAATCACCTGAGGGTAAGAGGCAAAAACTAAGTTTTATATAATTCAATTTCCAAAAACACTTGGAACCAGCTGAGTTCACCTCGCCCCACTGCCGACAGATTTATGCATGTAAAGGTACTCACCCCCCACAGGTGGAAGTCTCTCTTGAAAATCTTATTCTCAAACTGGATGTCGCAGGAGAGCTGCAGAGATGAGACAATTTATTAACATGTTTAATGCAGAAATGTTTTTATCAGCCGTCACTTGAAGAGATCCTGATCTCACTTGCGCCTATTGTAGTTGCTATAAATTGAAACCAGCTACCTTAATATTTCCTTTGTAGCTCAGTTAGAAACTTGTACTTTTAGCTTGATTTAGCTCATTTTTAACTGCAGACTTGGTGGCTTACTGGAAAGCTGGACATATGAGCCTTTAGCAATTATCAAAACTGAAATATTATGAAACACGGACAGCCCAGGGGGATTTTGTTCAAATCTGGCAACTCAAACTCTTTCAGTAGCTCCTAACTGAACTAACTTGCATATATGATTTTTGGTGAGTTGTCCTGAAAGTAATCATTAAACAGGTCACACTCACTAATAAGAAACCTTTTAATTTAGCAAGAAAACAGGAGATTTTCCTTCACCAGGCTTTTGTCAGTGTTCTAGTCTCAGTGCAGCTGCCTCTTCAACGTTCTATCCAGGGCAAGAAGAATTACAAGGCAGCTACACTGTGAGACTGTGAGACTGTTGAATGACTGAAAACTGTTTATCACTGAGCACGATCCTGTTGTGCGTTTGTCCTAACTGATCTAAAGCATCCGTAAATGACTTATTAACCTCCACAGTCTATTCTTAAAACTACTTACTGTAGCTCTAAGAACAGTTTCACAGAGGTGACCGAGCTGTGATTGTGTTTTAGACTCACCACTGTCCTGTTGGCCATGATGGACGACATTTCTGGGATTGTGTTCTTGGCGTAAATAGTCACCACAACGCTGTTTGCAGTCTGGTGCCAGTCGTGTCGACACGCCACCTTCTTCTTGTCCTGTAAACACGAGCGCAGGTCCGTCACACAGGGCCAGGCTGGATGTTTGAGAACACCGAGATACCAATGCTAGATGTTGTGAAACCTCATAGAGGATACAACGGTAATGCTTGTTTTTTCATGTTCATCTCACATTTCTCTAGAAATGCAGCATCAGTAACAATGGAAATGCTTCATTTAGAGGAAGAATTAAAAGAGTAAATAATGAGCAGTGCCAGCGCTGTTGGCAAGTAACATCCATACACCGACGCAGTGTGTACTGAATGTGTCGCTGCATAAGAACCCTCATTAAGTGGTAAGCTACTGCCTTTCCCTTTCAGTGAGCATTATTCTGATTCTTCATTTTGGGTCACTGGGCTCTTTACAGAGTCATTTGCATTCGGTAATGACTTGGTTCACTAAGATTTCATTTACAGTAGTAGTCTCCTCTTATTAAATGGGGCTGTTTTTTAAAGTGTACACACCAATTCACATTCCAAAAAAAAAAAGAGGTCATTTTAAATGTTAAGATTGTTTTGTTGCCTTTGTCGTTCCTATATTTCAGACACTCACCGGCCCACTTTATTAGATATGCTATTCACTGCAACACTTCCACCTTAACATCTGTGTTGATGAAGCTCAGAATGTTTGTTTGGGGTGAAATTGTTATTATATGTTTATTATCAATGTTATTATTATGTTATTATATTATTTATTATCAAGGTCATAGAGGTGGTGTTGTACTGGAGGGTCAGAATATTGAGAACATCTCTGAAATATAAAGTAGTCCAGTACAACAGCACCTTTAACTATGGCATCAATAGTAAACACATAACTGAATTTATACATTAACAACAATTTCACCAAAAAGTGAAAAATTCTGAGCTTCATAAACACACAGATGTTAAGGTGGAAGTGCATACAACTGTACAGGTGTACCTATTAAAGTGGTCAGGCAGTGTATATTTTGGGAACTTTCAAGTAATTTCTCACTAAATGTCCTGCTAGCTATGAACCAGGGCTGTAGCGTATGTGTGTACCTGTTTTGGGATCCAGCGGTGTTTCCCTGTTGTACAGCCCCTCTGGTCAAGGAAAGCATTGAAGTCTGTTGTCTTTATGCAGCAGCAGCTCCAGTACTTGTACCTAAACAAACGTTACAAGTTAAAGCAGAAACCTGATTTATATTCATGTACATGTTCTGTATACATGAAGTTTTGTAAATGGGCTCCTACAGTAGAGGATTGTGAGGGAGAGTGACAGTTATATACATGATCTTCAGTTCATGTTCTCCCTTTGTCAAAGGCATCTAATACTGTTATACAAATGCTTTTAATTACGAGTTTGTCTTTAGTGGATTATCTGTAAGTCTCTGTATTATCTGGAATAAAGAACTGGAAACATGCAGCAATAATGTGAACTCTGTGGGTCTTTGTGTCTTACCCCTCATGGAACACAGGTGCTCCAGGGTGGTGGGTGCAGACCTCCATGTTGGTTTCTCGGCCTTGATAGACCTGAACACAAACACAGTTTAAATAACCATTTATTTTCTGTATGTACTGCACATATGGTGAATTGACAATAAAATCCTTGAACCTTAATGTGGAGCCAATGAATGGCTCGTATGTAGCGTTACATTTTGTCCACTAGATGGTGCTGTCAACAAGCTTTACAAGGCAAACAGCAGCTCATGAGCAGCCCTGTTTGATCCCAGCAGAAGTTACACACACTCCAGTGTTTCCCCTAGCATTATATTTTCAGGAGAGGGTCGGACCCCATTTTCACCACATACTATAGTAAGGTATAAACAATTTAGTAAAAGAAACAATGTTTCTATCTACATGAAGTGCTCTGGATCTGTAATGAACCAAAGTGCTGTAAAAATAGATTGACAGATTCTAACTGTGGACAGACATGCATTAGGAGGCACCGTGGCCCTGTACCAACATGGCAGCCGCACATAGCAGCAGCAGCTATCAAGGCCTTTTCCCTGTTTCGCTTTGCTTTTAGCCAGTGTTCCCCCTACCATTATATTAGCCCTGAAGGTCAAGTTAATTATATTTTATTTTCTATATAGTGCCAGATCACAACAGAAGTCATGTAAGCTTACCTTTCCCAAAGCTATAAACCTAGGGAAAACACTATACTCCAGTTAACAAATGTTAGACGCTTACCGTTTTACATCCTGAGTTCTTGCACCGGGTCCCATGAATGACGGTCTGACTCTCTGTTGGAGGAGAGAGATGAGAGAAGGAAATCAGGACTGTGTCGCTCGCTGCAAATGTACTTTCTTATCTGCACTTCAAGCTTTATTTTCTGAAAAACACAAGCCACAAAATCTACCAGTGTAGTAAGAATATCTCAACTTGTTTCCAGTGCAAATCAACTTGTTTCAAGTATTTTCTGAAATCACTTTATGCTATTGACTTCTGTGGGGAAACAAGTTGAAGTATTTAACTTAACTATGAAGAAGGCATCAGCAGTTCTGTCAGTCCTCTGAAAATAAATTAATCCTATGATTGATACATGGGGTGATGTTTCTCTCTGGCCTGTTGCTTTTCTGCTTGACTTTGTCCTGGGGAAGTATAGATTTTGTTCACTTGTCTGAAGAAAATTGGTTATTTAGACTCAGTTCTGCAAAACATGTACAGCTAACATGATTTTTGCCAACGTACAATATATTAAAGTTTTAGACGGATGATTGATTTCTGCATGAAATAATATTGTGACCAACTATATCTTTGACTAACTCTGATTTTCTTAAGCCTACTTCAAAAACTAGACAGTACACTTTAAAGACTGAAAATCTGAAAATTCCTGCTTCATTTTTCTTGATCTACAATGATTTGTCTGCTCAAAAAATGTGTTATTAAATTTTATAATTTAGAATTTCTCTTATTGCACTGGAAGGTTTGGTCATTTCTTTAGAGAAACATTTTTTATGACTCAGTCAAATATTTAGTAATGAATAATAATGAAAACGGGGGATGTTCACAGTGTAAGGAATAGAGATGTGTTCGAGAACGGAAAAAAGCAAAGGAAATAAATGTCACAATAGATTGGTTTTGAATGAAACAAGGCCTCAAGCACACACACCGACCTTTCTGCTCTTGTTCAGCTCTCTTGCTGATTTCCAGTTTCTCCAGCACCTGAGCCAGCGATGCAGACACTTTATTGGGCAGCTTGATTTTAGACTCATCTGAACTGTTAACACACACACACACACTCATGGTAACAGAAATAGGTGCTGGAAAATGAACATGCAGGCCCAGATACACACACAAGCACAGCAGTGGTCTGCAGACTGATCCATGGTGTTGTAGGTCACCTCATCCTGCCCATTGTGAACCAGTACTGGGGCAGATGTGTGTGAGCTCCAAACAGGACAAGGTCCAGTTGGTTACACTCACCTGGGCCTCTCTTTCTGACGTTTCTCAGCAGATTTGGGTCCCTGGTAGATGATCTCTTGGCCATTGGTATGTTTAATCTCGCCCTTATCTGATGACACCGCCGGCCGCAGAGGCTCCTGGGGCTTCTCGTTGCTGTGGCGCCCACGGGTGCAGCCCTGTTCAACACAAGAGTGGATGCTTCAGTCTAATGAAAGGCAGGAAATCTCAGGGATTGAAGCTTCTCATATAATTTCTCCTATTTCCTCTTAGTCGGATCTCAACTTTTAGGAGCCGTACATTATGTGCTACAGAGGCTCTTTTACTGATGTGCTTTGATTTTTGAAGAATAAACGATTAAACTGTCAGTTAGTGCTGAGGAACCTTTTAAAGGGGTTTTCTTCTGGACCAGTTGGATCCACAAAGAAGGTGGATCCTTAAAGAAGACAGCAGCTGTAGTTTTACCTCTACTCAATTAAGACTTCATCAAAAGAACTGGATATTTTCACCTCTTCCTGTGAAGCATTTCACAGAGAGCTCCTCTGTACAGCGACCTACAGAGGCTCCACTCCTTCCCCACACTATAACAAACCACAGACTTCTACAGGATCTTGAATTTTGGACCTGAGCTGTTACCTTGATGGCCAGAAACTCCGAGAAGTCTGTTGTTCTCTTCTTACAGCAGGACCAACCCTGGAGAACAGACACAAATGTACAGTTTTTATCCTGCTTAATGAAAGTGTTGTTTGTTTACTTATTTATTGGTTTTACCTTCAGAGCATCGTGGAAGATGGGGACTCCTGGATGGAAGAGACAGGAATCTATTGGAGGAACAAACATCATCAGTCTGTATATAGACACACACAGCTGTTTACTGGCGTTCACAGGCTCTGTGTGTGTGTGTGTGTGTGTGTGTGTGTGTGTGAGAATCCCATAAAAGGCAGTTGGTTGCCAGCTACGAGCTCAGCCGTCCTTCAGAAACACATGGCTCACTGCTAGACTAACACATCCTGCAAACTACCATTGATGCCTACTCACTTTAATTCTTGATTTGCAATCAATTTGTCCACATTTTACCCATCTTTCACATTTAATTAGCAAATTAAGGAATAAAATCTGGTCTCATACTTTCCAAATAAAACCAGTTTCTGACTGAAATAATCTTTTAGATATGGTAAGTAGCTCTGGAGATTTGGCACAACATGAATCTGAGGAAAAGCTCCCTCCTTAGTCGTCCTTATTTGAGCTAGCAGGCGATATGTTGAAATAGGCTCCTACAGGTTTTCAGTGTGCTCAGTTAACAGACGTCGAGACTGACTGAACATGAAGATCTCTGTGTAAATATCAGGTAGAGAAGGTCAAAACACATTGAAGAAAAGCAGAGCAACTGCAAGAACAGACAAATTTAATGCTTCGTGTCCCTCATTTTGTTTTAACCCTCGACTTCCTTGATGGCTAAAACAAACTAACCAACAGATCCATACTGGACTGTGTAAATAAGATGCACAGGTGCAGACAGAAACTTACCATCCTTGTTCTGGTCGGGGTCATACTTCTGCCCGCAGCCTTTGTTATAGCACAGTAGAGCCATGCTGGCCTGTAGGTTTGTCCGATTTCTTCTTCTTCACTCTATGGTCTGTGTTTAACTATCTTCCTCCAACGTGCTCGCCTCTCCTAGTCTTAACCCCTTGCTCTAGAAGTTTCTCCAGTCAGGCAGAAAGGAGAAATCCAGAATGGGCAACTGCCCTCTGGAGAGAGAAGGAGGAGTGAGGGTGGTCTCCCTCTCTGGTTTGGGCCTGTCTGAATGAAAGATAAAAATAGCACATCTCCTCCCTACTCTCAATTTACAGCTGTCAAAACTTATCTGAAGGGGGGGGGTTTGACATTCCTCCTGGCCTGTCACACACAGGCCTGCTGTGACCCAGCGGCCGCCACAACTTCTAGAGTTCTGTCCCCTTCTGCCACACTGAACAAATGATGATGCCATCAGTAGTTTAGGCTAACACAGAAAAGAGGACAGTTTATATGTTTTGTACCAAATATTTTTCATCCTGAGCACAGGAGATAAACTTCCAGCGACTGAAGTTAAAGCAATAACAGAAAACAGTGTTTCTAATGACATTGAGTGATATATTTAGTATTAAGGACCAGTTAGTCAAAAACTAAAACCTGGAAGCAACCAAATACATCACCCCTGTCATCAGTGAGAGCCTCTCAATGTTACTATGGAACAAACATACAAACTGTTTCATCATTCAGTGCTCAGTAGAAGTCAGGAGGCGGGACCCTGCTTTAAGTCTGCCACCGTAGGAGCGCCGGTACAAGTGTTTTAGGTCAACGTGTCACTAGAAGCAGGGATATAGGCTACAGTAGGTGTACATAGAAACAAACAGGAAAACAGTGGCTACGCACTGGAGATGAGTAATTGTATGTTTTGGTAAACTATTCCCACGGTTATAGGAAATCTGGGCCAAATTTACAAGAAGCCAGGGCTTTAAACAAGTGGTTTAAAAAGGTATTTGGTCAAACAAAAGCACAATACATGTTGTGGGAAATTCCCTCTGCCTGGTCTCACTTAATAGATAATAGCTATAATTGCCTGGTGTCTTACTGTGCTTCCATTTTGTTGGACACCACTGTTTAACTTTGTATTTAGTTCTATGTGAATGTCTTAGAGGTTTTTCTTGATAAAAAGTTGAAAGTGTATCATTGTAAAACTAGATATACTCTATATACAGTATCACTAAGGAAAACAATGGAAGAAGCTGAACTGATCTGTCACTCTCGCCCTTTTTACTGGGAAACCTTCGGCTCTGCTCTTGATGAAGAGCGCCCTCTTCCTGTTTTGCACTGTACATCAGCCCTGCAGATTTTCAGCCACACATATGCTGACAAACTGTCCTGTACATGTGCCCTGGAGAAGTTATCCAAGAAATTAGCCAGTATTTGCATAGCGGTCAACACTGGGTTGTATTTTCAGAGTAAACATGATGTAAAATGAATGCAAAACCTACCAAACACAATAACATTTAATTTTTTAATTTCTCAGTAAATTATAAAACTGGATACATACACATTGGGACTGGGTTAAAATATGAGAAAGGTGATTTAAGAAAAAAAAATTCTTAAATGCTCAGGCACAGCAAAAAAAACAAAACAAAAAAACAAACAAACAATAAAAAAACCAACAACATCAAAAGATGCCATTTGACAATTTAAGGCCTTGAATTTTCATCATGTCTGACTTAAGTGTATTTTAGTGGGCGGCAGACTTTCTTGGCAGCTCGAGTGACAGGACTGTAGTTCCTTCAGCAACTGTCCAGAAACCTCAAAAACAGACAAGTGTTTATGAATGGAAAATGACTTTATTTCTTTCAAAAAAAAAAAAAGGAGAGAAAACAAATCCCTAGAATAAACAAATATACTGCTGCAAAATAAAAGCTTGTGATTTTTGTCAATGTAACATTTGCTTGCCATTCTATACTCGATACATTCAATATATTCCTGCTTTAAATAAATAGAAAAAAAATGTACAAAGAGGTGGGGGGGAGAAGACAGAAGAGAAAGAGGTGTCCTCTGTTCTGAAAACATTTGGTATCATTGAGAATTCACGGCTGATCCTGACGTACAAGGAGGTCTGCAGCGTTCAAAATCTGCATCGTCCGTCTGTTTAGCTTGCCCCTACTGAGTAGTAATCATACCTATATACTGCTGTATGAATGCTAATATCTTTCACGTTCAGAAAAATAAAAAAGAGTAAATGAAAATAATAATGCAAGTCCTGATTATGAGAGTACGTACTTAAGCTCTGTGTCATGTGAACATGTGCATTTCTCTATATACAGAATAGTGAGGCAGCAATCCGAGGGTTCATACCAAAAAACACAAGTGGAAAAAAAACAGAATGTGCATAAGAGATCTTTGATTCAACACAATGACAAAGTTGAGAAATTGTATCTAACAGCCTCTCTCTGTTTCTTTCAATTCACTCTGTGCTCTCTGAATCTTGAACGCTGCCACAGCTGCAATACGCACAGTGACCCGCCGCTGGTGTCACAACAGTGCAGAGTTCCAAGGACAAATCTGCCAGTGAGGACATGTGACATCTGTGGGAGAAGTAACAGAAACCAGGTTTTGTTTTGCTACAGTGGTTCTTCTGGAAACAGTAGAAACATCTGTCAGGTTCTGTCCAAATAAGCGACGAACCTGCCTGTCACAACTGGTAAACGACTGTTCAAGAAAGTCTGATCCATCATGCCTTTCACCTTGACAAGGCGCCTGACAGACGATAGGTTTTAAAACGGGGACAACAGGAGAAGACCATTTATCATCATCACTGTCATATCATGCATTTTAGAAAAAGGACAACAAACGTCGACAACGCTACAACCATACATTCCGCAGCCCCAGAAAGTGAAGAGGGAGGGCTCGCCGAATGTTTGATTCACTTGGCTGTAACTGAAAACAGGCATTTTAAAATAAAGATACTCCATGTATCCTTCTCAACCTGAATTCATGCTACAACAATGCAGAGAGTTGGCAGCAGCTTTCAAAGTTGAGAGAAGGTTCATAACGTAGCCACACAACGCTGTCTGGTCTGAGCCCAAATGGACCAGATCAGCGGCCAAAACCAGAGAACAGTGGTTGTACTGGGAAATTCCCAGTCAAAAGTGTGAGAATTTGAGGAAGGGAGTCGCCAAAAATAGCCTGCATGCTTGGCCAAAACCCTCCCCGGACGACAAAATTACCTTCATGATATAGGTATAGGAATTCCTGGCAGTTGCATCAACACCAAGGAGACGAGCCAGTCGGTAGCCTCGTCTTCTACACTTTCTATAACCTGCCAAATGTGACCATTTTCAAACCACTCACAACAGAGAAAAATAAAATGTCACTGCAACAGGCTGTACTTGATTCCATGCCGAGAAATCAAAAGGTTTATAAGAAAGAAAAAGCTAAATACTGATCAAGAGGAACACAAGATGTCAATTTAACTTGAGAAAACGGCTGCGTTCACTGAAAAAAGACCAGGTGAAACACTGATTTTACTGTCCTTCATACTAAAGCCAACCAATTTTGTTTGCTAATGTTATCTGAAATATCAGGAATGATCAGATCTGCAGTTAAAACACAATGTCATGATGTTCTGATTCTGGATCAGCGTCAGAAAAACCCTCTTTCTGAAGTGCTAATTTATCATTGAGACAAAGACAATTGCCAGCCACAGAAAATAAAGGACCATGATTAGAACTCATTTTGGTGCCAAAGAGGCATCTATTCAACAAATAGCAACATATCGTGTCCACTGGGAAGTACTGTCACACTGATCAAACCACAGTGAAGAGAAGGTGCACTAGAAGTTAGGAAATGGAAAATACATTTCACCCCATTAACCAAGTTTAAACCTCATCTTGAAACTCAAATTGGATTTATCAACGTAAATGTACAACGCCAAGCTGGCAAACACTGAGTGCCATCAAAATGAATTTCGTTTCCTGTGCTCTGTTATAAGATCACTTGTGGCAGTACTAAATGTACATCTAAACACTAAAAGAGAACAGACCAATCAGCTGGCTTGATGTGCAGGTCCTCACAACTCCCTCTGTGACCATTCTCTGCATAGGTTCACAAAGACATTTATGTGCATCTCCACAGAAGAATGATTCCCTCCAACAGGGCTTGAGACATTTTATTCAGCTGTCCCAGGGATTAGAGGATTCCCTTGCTACTTGCCACATTTCCCTACTGAATATAAAAGTACCCCTGAACAACAGCTAGTGGCAAACTGAGCACACAACCCTTCAGCTGCTGCTCAAATCTACAAGCATTTAGCTAAAGCTCATTTCAAAACCTGGCTGGACTATACTGTACTTAACTTGTTCTAGAAAAGCACCGGTCATTTCATCTAGAGCCGACAAAGTCTCCTTTGTCATAAATCGCCTGGATATCCAAGCATCTCATTCGCTGTCTAGATTCAACAGTCCGATCAGAGACGGTTTGTAGGCTGCTGACATCGTAACACGAGGTAAAGATGGTCAATGCTGAGGCAGGAAAAAAAAAAAAAAAAGACAAGGACCTTACTTACTGGACACTGGAGCAATGCCAACAGTGAGAGGAGGAGAGCACTGAACACTAGAGAAAAGCGAATCACAAAGCCTGAGCCGAAGGGCCTCCGAAAGATTTCTTCTACAGCTAAAAGACAGAGACACCAAGACAGAGAAAAGAGCTATAGATACTAAACAGTGGCAGAGGTGAGGAAGAGGTGGGAAACCTACTGCAGGTGTCAAGGAGGATACTATGAAGAGAAGCTAAACTAACACAAGACTGTAACAAGAAGAGCAATATTTATCAAATAGCGACAGTGATCGGTGAGTGCAGACAATATAGACAGCAACTGGTTATTATCACTATTATTTTTTACATATCTACACATACCAAACAGTGACGAAGCAGGCCAAAAAAAGCACTCTAGAGCTAGACCAACTAGACAGAGCTGAGAGACTTGAGCGAGTTCTACTAGGGATTTCACAGCAGATGATGAATGCTATATAGCTGGACCATCACTGATGATGTGGGCGGAGACACCGGACTGGGACTGGGGCTGAGACTACAAAATGTTTCAAGTTCATTATTAAAATGGCAGGGAAAAAATAACTTTTAGTTAACTGCCAATGTGGCCGGTAGATTAGACAAACCTATCTTAAAATCACAAACTACAGTATCTCTACAAGCCTCGGATCCTTCTCGACTTTTACACACCAGAAACGCTGGCGACAGCTTCGCTGTGGCAGGACAGTCACTTCAGTGCAAAAAGGTTTGCTTGTGCATCATGCAAAACAAAAAATTTGATTTTACAAAAATTTTGAGTCAAACTCACTGGCTCAAATTTGGCTTGAAATCTGACCCTAAGAAACAGCCCTCAATGGAAAAACATATAAATGCATAAGTACACACTTTAAATATATTCTGCACAAATATACCAATAGTGAAATTCATGGCGACGGAAGCTTTGGCTGAACAATGTTCCATGATGTCGTACACGAGTCAGATTTAACCCCCTAAATTTCCTGGAACCTTTGAGCGAGTGTGATGCCAAAGGTTTTAGTTTCGTTTGGCTCTTGGTGCAAGCAGTCACACTTAAAACCACTCAGTCTGATTCAGTGCAATTTAAAGTGAATTTGACATGATTCAGTAACATTTAACTCACTAAATCATTGGCACATAATGTGGGCCTGCCAAAGAGAAGGCTCTTATTTTAGAAACCTGGTTGGTGAAATATTGAAGATAACAGATACACACAGGTCATCCAAGATGCTAACAAGCAGTTAACAGGCTAGTGGTGCTAATAAAGACATGTGGACGCCGAACCCAACAAGTTTATATGTATATCATGTCCGAACCTGAGCCCGATGCAGTTGTGTTGGTGTTTTACCCATTATCATTAAACAAAACAGCCATTTGAGTGCTCCAGTCGTCTATCTTAAAGTTTGACCCGTGTGTCCGAACCCCTCCCAAACCCAAACATGGTCTCTAAATTTCTGTCCAAAACCAGCCTGAACCCTTAGGTACTGTCGGGCTCGGTTCGGGTATCCACACTCTAAACTGAGAATAATGGCGGCCAAAACTGTCGAGATAAACATGTAAAAATCATGGCACAAATTTTAGCTGTTGACCAGAAACCAACTGTTTTGACGTTGCTGACGCCTCTGTACTGTGCTAGCATGTTGTCAACAGTGCTAATCCCTGTCTCTGTGTGTATCTGCAGCTTTAGAAGAAGAAAACAATGCAGTATGAGTTACAAAGCCTTTAGCTTAAACCCATAACAAATGCTCATTTACTATCAACAAATGGTTCAACAAATTGCTCTTATAGCCCCATAACATTCAGGAGAGGTTGCAGAAGAAAACTGAAAAATACAAAGGTATCCCAGCAGAGCAGAAAATTACAGGAAACACGTGAGAAGATCTGCCTCTAAATCTCTCGCTGGTTGAACAGTTGTGGACATGAAGAGGAGGTCGGTTGTAGGGTATTGTCTGAAGCAACTTCTGTGCACACACACACAGACATACATACATTCGGATCTGCCTCTAAATCTCTCGCTGGTTGAACAGTTGTGGACATGAAGAGGAGGTCGGTTGTAGGGTATTGTCTGAAGCAACTTCTGTGCACACACACACAGACATACATTCATGCACACACAGACACACTAAACAAACACTTGTCCTCTCCTAAGTGCTCCCAAGTTGCTGTTGCAGGTGGGAGGTAACCCAGAGAGGACAAAATAGCACCAGTGTGAAATAAAGCTAAATCTGCAGCAAAGACTCTCAAGGCAGTCAGATACTGACTGAAAACCAGAGGTAGGATTTCCTCAATCCCCTCCCCGGCCTCTCCTCCATCTTTCTTTACAGCTTCCTCTCTCATCCACATTCTCTCTTCTGAAACGTCACTCCAACAGGGGTTGAATCACAGAACAGACAGTACAACAGAAAAAAAGCTACACACACACACACACACACACACACACACGGAGTTGCTTCAGACAAAGACTAAGCAGGATCGTCCCCACCACATCCATCTGTTCCTCTGGTAGGTCACCTTCTCCTCTTTCCAGCTTGGTTTTTGGTGTTTTTGTCATCGGTCTCATTCTTAGTCATTTTAGCTTGATCAAATCATTCCTCCATCCATGTAATCATTCTTCTTCTGTGTTCTCTTCTGCTGTTTGTGTCACTTTTGGCACTCTGCTTACCCATGACTGGATTACATAAACTGCATCTGAAGAGACAGAGAAAAAAACAACAGAGAAAATGGTTGTTTTGATCATTCTAATACATCAAAAACCACTCTGCCGCTGTGACCAAATGCCAACGAAGAATTTCTCTTGGGATCTCCCAAGAGGTCGCAGGTTAAGGCCGCATTCAGACTGGCATTCAAAGGTGTGAAAAATTCATTCATGCTATATAACCAACCCTTCAACGGTCACTTTTTCCAAATTACATCTCTAGTTCACTTCATTGCAACCCACAGACATGCAGCTGCTGATGTTACACACAAGTAGACACTGCTACATTTTAAAATTGAGATCCAGTACGAACAGAGATCCCTGTGGCCATAAGTGCCGAAGTGACTGTGGGAAGTGCTAAAATGGAGTGCACTAGCAACAACAGACTGACTCCATAATGTCAGTTGTATCTATTTTAAGTTGACTCCAAATAGCCAACATAAATGTGCACACAGACCATTTAAGGCTGCTGCAGTTAACCCCAACTAAAACAAGCAAGAGCACCTTTGAATATTTACAGTATACATTTAACTTTTAATAGAGTTGGAGGGTGTTAAGTTGTTTTAAAAGTTGCACATTGTGCACAAGAAAGACTGGAAACCAGTGGATTAAGAACAAAAAGCATGAGCAGAGAGCCGATAGTACTGCTGACCTGCTGAAGCGTGACGTAATGAACACAACCCAGTAATGTTGTTGAGAACTGCACTGACTTGTTGAAAATGCTAGATACTCTCCAAATAAATGAAACACAAATGTAAGAAAAAGCATTTAAAATTGAGGGTAAATGCACTTCATTACACTGGCTGCTCATTAGGGGGTTTTCCAATGTAAGAACCTACTGAAAAGTGTCACGCACACAGTAACACTCATCACAGGTTCTGTGGGGGGGGGTTTCCCCACTGCCCTCCACCAACCTAGGAGCTGTGTTCTGGGAGCTAAAGTTCAGCACCCCTCAGGAAGCAGTATTAAAATCTAGTTCCAGAAAGACGAGGGGGGAAGGGGTGTGTGCCGGCAGAGCTGTCGCCCTTGATTGCTAGAGGCACTTGTACTGGTTTAGAGACAAAACAGGGATTTCAGTGACTGGACCGTGTGCAAAGTGATGAAGAGGTCACATTTCTATAAGTCTGTGTTTTGCTTGTTCAACAGCTGTTTTTTTTTTTAACCACTCATACAGTCTCCATTACTGACTGTTTCACTGTGGAGTGATCCTTCACACTGCCTGTTCTCCTTCTCCTGTGTGATAATACCGATATATGTACATCACAAGCTGTGACTTCATGAAGTCGTGCTTGATAATGTGCTAAATATTAAATATCACATTTACAGGTTTAATTACATCAAGGTCAAGAATCTTTGTCATTATATATAGCACAACGAAATATTTTTCCGGCAGCTCTTGGCTTAAAAGACACATTTACATAACACAAAAATGTATGAGTCAATATAAAAGTGAACAAACATCTCTATAACCATATCACAAAACATGTTTTTTATTTATTTATCTGCTTTATTTGTTTTTGCTTCACCTTAGGGAACAAATACAGTGATTGATCATGTGTTTTGTGTATCACCTGGGCTCCAGGCATGGGTGCGAAGGGGTTGGAGGGTCTGAGAACAGGCTGGTTGTACATCATTGGCTGAGGAGCCATCACTGGTACTCCACTCATCTGACTCATCTGTGGAGGGACCTGGACACAAACGGAAGATATGGAGAGAAATAGGAGGGGGTTGATATAGAGATAACAAAACAACAACAACAACAAAAAAAGACAAAACCAAGAGTGAACAATCAGTGATGCAAAAACAGCAACACGGCATAGAAGTTAAAAAAACAAAGGGAAATTTTAAAAAACCGTCAGACTACTTGTGTGCACGTTTATATATTCTGCATTAAAGCTATAACCAACATTTAAATGACAGTTTTCACTTAACAGACCAGTTGGATTAATAACATTCTTGTGCATTTGTGCACACTTACCATTCCATACACAGGCACTTGTGGTGTGGTCATGGGGAAAGCCATGGGAGCTGGAGCCTGGAAGAAAAGCAGAAACCAGGAATGAACTTATAGAGGGGCTGCAGACATAACAGAAAGCACAGCCCGGTCAAACACTGTACGACTTCTGTAGCACACTGCTCTACTACTCCCACCAAAACAAAAACAATTTTAGTATCTTTAGCTCTGACCAACATCTGATCTGTCTCCTTCAGTCATGTCCGACTTTGAACACAATAAACAAAATGCACACAGCTGAGCAAGTATGAGTGCAGTATGAGCAAGGAGAATACATTTAATGCTGATGTGCACATTAGAAGCACAACAACACAGCATGCAGCAGGCCTACTTAGTGGAATCCTGCTGGGAGCGGTCATGACCAGCACTTGAAAAGAGGTGGCTCAACAAATCAGTGTTTAGCCCTGCACTGCTTTACAAATCAAATCCACTACAGCTGAATGGGCTGCAAAGTCAATGCGATGGGTAATTTGTTGATGCCGTTTACAACCTGTGTACATCTGCATAAAACCTGCAGATTTCTCCTTGACAAATAGGTAATTTACAGGAGTGAGTGTCCACGGCTCATTACAGTATCTCATCAATGCATGTCCTGCAAAATCGGTTTACAAGATGACAAGTGAAGATGCAGTGCAGGGTGCCTCTTGCACAACAGTAGGGAATCTATAGCACGCGTACAGCAGTATTATTACCAGAGGTCACGTGACTTATCTATTGCCTGCAGTAATTTTAGTTTGTATACATGTAGTTCCAGACTATGCATAATGAGGCTGCCTTGACAGTTTCCCTCACATATAGCAAATAAAAGGTCTGAATCTTTAGTTGTGAATTTCAAACACCCATTAAAACAGCTTGCCAAATCATGCTGCTGCCTTCACAAACCTAATTCATCACTGTAAATGAGACAACTGTGGCATTTTTCTTTAACATGACTTCATAACACCTCAATCATTGCAGCAGTATTAAAACTACTTCTCCAGCTGGATGTTACAGGCTGGTTTTGCTGCGACAAGCACAGAAAAAGGTACAATATCATTAAACACAGTAATTTCCTGTGTGGTGAAATTATATGTCGCCTTTGCAGTCGTATATAAAATAATGGATTATAATAATCAGGCCAATAAAAGAGTGGCTTCAGACCTTTTATGTGCAAAAATAAAACACCAGCATTATCCTATAATTGCTACTTATGCAATGACTCAAGCAATGCTTTAAACAAACTGCATGTTCTGCTGCTTGTAAATAAGAGTCTGGTCCTACAATTGTTTTAACTTAGCAAAAATCAAACTACCACAAATATGGTCCTTGCATGCAAAATGCAAGATACTAAATCACATTCAGTCCTCAGAACAGACTGCTCATTTTAGCACAAGTTTTCACACACAAACAATGCAATGTAGCATTTCTCCTTATTATAATGTAACTGCTTTTACTTCAGTGCAGTTCCTCTCAATACGTTTGTATTAGTAGTGAAAAAAAAACTCAGTTTCTTCTCTTTCAGCTAGTGTTAAAACATTCTCATGCAGTGTCTATTATAGCAGTGTAAACTGAGGCCAACATGCCTGCTACAATATCCTTTGGATACCCAAACCGAGCCAGACGGGACCTGTCAGTACTTGAGGGTTTGGCTCGGATACGGACACATAGGTCGAACTTTAGGCCAGATAAGCTGGAGCACTCAAATGACCGTTTTGTTTAATGATAAGGGGGAAAACGCTGTAATGCCCAAGCCTGAAAGGGTTTCCTCTAAAGAAAAAAGGTTTTGGGTTGGGTCAGGTGAACCAGTGAACTGATCACAGGAGCTAATGAATGTGATTGATCGGGTATCCACTTTAAAATCTGGCCATGGGGGAGCATGCTGTGAAAGTGGATCATCAATATGATCTCTTATAGCAGTAGATCTGGCCAGCTGCCAGAGAGAAGGAAAATAATTAAATTCAAGCCAAAAGACCTGAATTGTATCTGTCAGAGACATTTATTGCTCGCTTAGTAATATGCTGCTGGTTTAATAGTACTGGAAACCATGATTAAAGATTTAACAGACTATGCTGTGACCGAACCATGCTGCTTCAGTTAGAAAACCATCTGTCTCTGAAGGTGGGTTCCCATTCAGCCGTTTTTATATTTGTATGCTCAGTTTCAATTTGCACATAAAAAAAAAAAAAAGCTAGAGTGGAAATGCAAAAATAAAATAAAATAAAAAATCATGAATCACAGCAAAAAAAAAAGTTTATTCTTGCCTGAGGTGGAAAATCATTCAATAAAAACAAAATGCATTAAAAAAAAAGAACACAATCCATTAAACCACAAATCAACACTGCATTAGTCCTTCTCCCCAAGCTCACTGGTTCCTACTGAAAACAGAAATCTTTAAATACAAGTCACAAATAGGAGCAACTGGAGCATTTGTCAGGGACTATACTCAAATGTGTCTGGTACTCTAGTGCCTGTTTCCAAACTAAAAATAAACTGCATATTTGTGGTAACAAAGGAAATGTCAATCAGTAAATGAAGTTTAGTTTTTGAGCAAATACTGAGCCCTATAGCACAGAGAGTAGCTTATGTTAGGCTTTGGCTACAGAGGTAACACTGTAGGATAAATTAATTGTTGGTTAGATGAACTAAAGATGAACAGTCACACTGGGGGCTAACAAGGGAGAGATATGTGGGGAAAGGGGACACCTTGTTCTAAATTCCTCTGTTTGCTTAGTGCTTACATAGGTAGTGCAGATCATTATCCTGTAGCAGAAAGACGAGAGGGTTTTTTTTTGTAGAAACTGAGCAGAGTCAAAAGATTTTTAACGAAGTGTCTCAGAGTAATGCAAGAAAATCAAGAGGTGACAGAGAAAGAGCAGCTCATTAAGACTTACTCAACAGGGATAAGTACTTACATAACTAGTATAGAACATTCCATTCTGCATCAGGACGCAACAAGAAAAAAAAGACAAAAGACAGAGAAGGAGGGAGGCAGACAAAATGATACAAAGATAAAGAGCAGCACAAAGAGGAGGCGGCAAAGGAAGAGGATGAGGAAAAGCCGCAAAGTGGAGTGAAAGAATCCAGATGATTAAAGAGGGAAGCAAAAACGGTATGATGAGGGACAGATGTAGAGAAGGTTAGAAAGTGCAAGAAGCAAAAGAGAGTGAACAAGATTGGATAAAGAATTAAAGACAGGATGATGAGAAAGAAAAAAAACGAGAGATGCACAAACAAAGAGAGATGGGAAATAGAATTGAGAAAAAAAAGGCAAGTGAACGCGAATGAGAGCACATTAGATGGTGAGGAAAATGTACAATAGGACAAAGAAGGAGCACGTGTGGAACAACAATAACAGTGAGATTGTACAGAGAGAGAGAGGAGGGAAGTTGGAGCAACAACAACAGGGCAAAGAGGTAAATTTGACAAATAAGTAAAGGAAACAGAGTGAAAAACAATCAAGGGGTCAAAGCATGGACGTGCAGATGTCAAAGGCAGTGTAGCACAAACAGCAAGGTGATGACAACGCAAAAGAGATGCAATAAAACAAGAGCAAAGGGAAGGAAGACGAGTGGATGATGGTGCAAAACAGAAGGAAGAAATGGATGAAGAGAATGATCAGGACAGGAAGGAGAGATTTCACACAGTGACAGCAGGGCGGAGGATGAAAGAAGATAAAGAAGGAAAAGAACCGACATGAGAAAGCGAGAGAGAGAGCGAGAGAGAGAGAGAGTGAAAAAGGAGAAAGTAATACATAGTGGGGAAAGGGAGAAAAAGAGGAAGCGGAGGGTTAGTGACAGTTTGTCCACGTCAGCCAGAAACTAGTCCAGAGATCAGGAGGACAATCAGGAACTGCCAAGATCAGCACACATACACGAGCACACATACACGAGCACACGGTGCATGCGCAGGCAGTTATATACTGAACCACGTCAATAGGCTCACATACACCAGCACAAGATACAACACATGTACATGCACACAGACAGAGAATTCAGTGTGTGCGCTACAACACTTCTGGATTATTTGTAAGAGCAAGTTTAATTTAGATAAAAGTAACACTTATGTTTTGGGGATTCAAAGTAAATACAAAACTAATTATGTTGATTTTTCAACTGACATTCTGGAAAATGTGTGTACTGTATTCACTTTTCGGTTTAGAGTTAGAGAAGAAACACTTAAAAAAAAACTCAGTTTCTTCTCTTTCAGCTAGTGTTAAAACATTCTCATGCAGTGTCTATTATAGCAGTGTAAACTGAGGCCAACATGCCTGCTACAATATCCTTTGGATACCCAAACCGAGCCAGACGGGACCTGTCAGTACTTGAGGGTTTGGCTCGGATACGGACACATAGGTCGAACTTTAGGCCAGATAAGCTGGAGCACTCAAATGACCGTTTTGTTTAATGATAAGGGGGAAAACGCTGTAATGCCCAAGCCTGAAAGGGTTTCCTCTAAAGAAAAAAGGTTTTGGGTTGGGTCAGGTGAACCAGTGAACTGATCACAGGAGCTAATGAATGTGATTGATCGGGTATCCACTTTAAAATCTGGCCATGGGGGAGCATGCTGTGAAAGTGGATCATCAATATGATCTCTTATAGCAGTAGATCTGGCCAGCTGCCAGAGAGAAGGAAAATAATTAAATTCAAGCCAAAAGACCTGAATTGTATCTGTCAGAGACATTTATTGCTCGCTTAGTAATATGCTGCTGGTTTAATAGTACTGGAAACCATGATTAAAGATTTAACAGACTATGCTGTGACCGAACCATGCTGCTTCAGTTAGAAAACCATCTGTCTCTGAAGGTGGGTTCCCATTCAGCCGTTTTTATATTTGTATGCTCAGTTTCAATTTGCACATAAAAAAAAAAAAAAAGATACAGTAGAAATGCAAAAATAAAATAAAAAAAAAATCATGAATCACAGCAAAAAAAAAAGTTTATTCTTGCCTGAGGTGGAAAATCATTCAATAAAAACAAAATGCATTAAAAAAAAAGAACACAATCCATTAAACCACAAATCAACACTGCATTAGTCCTTCTCCCCAAGCTCACTGGTTCCTACTGAAAACAGAAATCTTTAAATACAAGTCACAAATAGGAGCAACTGGAGCATTTGTCAGGGACTATACTCAAATGTGTCTGGTACTCTAGTGCCTGTTTCCAAACTAAAAATAAACTGCATATTTGTGGTAACAAAGGAAATGTCAATCAGTAAATGAAGTTTAGTTTTTGAGCAAATACTGAGCCCTATAGCACAGAGAGTAGCTTATGTTAGGCTTTGGCTACAGAGGTAACACTGTAGGATAAATTAATTGTTGGTTAGATGAACTAAAGATGAACAGTCACACTGGGGGCTAACAAGGGAGAGATATGTGGGGAAAGGGGACACCTTGTTCTAAATTCCTCTGTTTGCTTAGTGCTTACATAGGTAGTGCAGATCATTATCCTGTAGCAGAAAGACGAGAGGGTTTTTTTTTGTAGAAACTGAGCAGAGTCAAAAGATTTTTAACGAAGTGTCTCAGAGTAATGCAAGAAAATCAAGAGGTGACAGAGAAAGAGCAGCTCATTAAGACTTACTCAACAGGGATAAGTACTTACATAACTAGTATAGAACATTCCATTCTGCATCAGGACGCAACAAGAAAAAAAAGACAAAAGACAGAGAAGGAGGGAGGCAGACAAAATGATACAAAGATAAAGAGCAGCACAAAGAGGAGGCGGCAAAGGAAGAGGATGAGGAAAAGCCGCAAAGTGGAGTGAAAGAATCCAGATGATTAAAGAGGGAAGCAAAAACGGTATGATGAGGGACAGATGTAGAGAAGGTTAGAAAGTGCAAGAAGCAAAAGAGAGTGAACAAGATTGGATAAAGAATTAAAGACAGGATGATGAGAAAGAAAAAAAACGAGAGATGCACAAACAAAGAGAGATGGGAAATAGAATTGAGAAAAAAAAGGCAAGTGAACGCGAATGAGAGCACATTAGATGGTGAGGAAAATGTACAATAGGACAAAGAAGGAGCACGTGTGGAACAACAATAACAGTGAGATTGTACAGAGAGAGAGAGGAGGGAAGTTGGAGCAACAACAACAGGGCAAAGAGGTAAATTTGACAAATAAGTAAAGGAAACAGAGTGAAAAACAATCAAGGGGTCAAAGCATGGACGTGCAGATGTCAAAGGCAGTGTAGCACAAACAGCAAGGTGATGACAACGCAAAAGAGATGCAATAAAACAAGAGCAAAGGGAAGGAAGACGAGTGGATGATGGTGCAAAACAGAAGGAAGAAATGGATGAAGAGAATGATCAGGACAGGAAGGAGAGATTTCACACAGTGACAGCAGGGCGGAGGATGAAAGAAGATAAAGAAGGAAAAGAACCGACATGAGAAAGCGAGAGAGAGAGCGAGAGAGAGAGAGAGTGAAAAAGGAGAAAGTAATACATAGTGGGGAAAGGGAGAAAAAGAGGAAGCGGAGGGTTAGTGACAGTTTGTCCACGTCAGCCAGAAACTAGTCCAGAGATCAGGAGGACAATCAGGAACTGCCAAGATCAGCACACATACACGAGCACACATACACGAGCACACGGTGCATGCGCAGGCAGTTATATACTGAACCACGTCAATAGGCTCACATACACCAGCACAAGATACAACACATGTACATGCACACAGACAGAGAATTCAGTGTGTGCGCTACAACACTTCTGGATTATTTGTAAGAGCAAGTTTAATTTAGATAAAAGTAACACTTATGTTTTGGGGATTCAAAGTAAATACAAAACTAATTATGTTGATTTTTCAACTGACATTCTGGAAAATGTGTGTACTGTATTCACTTTTCGGTTTAGAGTTAGAGAAGAAACACTTGTGTCTAGTAGAAGCTTTTTGTTACCTCTGGACAGAACCAGTCCAGCTGTTTTCACATGTTGCTCACCTGTCTTTATGCTAAGCCAGGCTAACAAATAGTCCCCCACACATTGTTTTTACTCTTCGTTTCTTGTGTGGATGACGTGATGTGACCTAATGAGCTTAAGATGTGCTGGCAGACTGATTTTGTTACCTTCATATCAGAGCTGAACGAGCTGTTTCCAGTCGTTGTGCTAAGCTGTAGGTTTATATTTAACAGATATGACCGTGACAGTGATCTTCTTATCTAACTCTCGTCACGAAAGCAAGTAACCATATTTCCCAAAATGCCAACTGATTCCTTTACTATAAAGCAATAAGAAGCCTGAACAAATAAAACACCTGCCTAAGGGCAACGCACACTGGGGGTGTTGCATCGTGCTCCACCACATGACGTGAATAACACACTCTGGGAGCTGCACAAATTCAGTGCGGGACTACCAAAATGGGCTTAAAAAAAAAGAACACAATCCATTAAACCACAAATCAACACCGCATTAGTCCTTCTCCCCAAGCTCACTGGTTCCTACTGAAAACAGAAATCTTTAAATACAAGTCACAAATAGGAGCAACTGGAGCATTTGTCAGGGACTATACTCAAATGTGTCTGGTACTCTAGTGCCTGTTTCCAAACTAAAAATAAACTGCATATTTGTGGTAACAAAGGAAATGTCAATCAGTAAATGAAGTTTAGTTTTTGAGCAAATACTGAGCCCTATAGCACAGAGAGTAGCTTATGTTAGGCTTTGGCTACAGAGGTAACACTGTAGGATAAATTAATTGTTGGTTAGATGAACTAAAGATGAACAGTCACACTGGGGGCTAACAAGGGAGAGATATGTGGGGAAAGGGGACACCTTGTTCTAAATTCCTCTGTTTGCTTAGTGCTTACATAGGTAGTGCAGATCATTATCCTGTAGCAGAAAGACGAGAGGGTTTTTTTTTGTAGAAACTGAGCAGAGTCAAAAGATTTTTAACGAAGTGTCTCAGAGTAATGCAAGAAAATCAAGAGGTGACAGAGAAAGAGCAGCTCATTAAGACTTACTCAACAGGGATAAGTACTTACATAACTAGTATAGAACATTCCATTCTGCATCAGGACGCAACAAGAAAAAAAAGACAAAAGACAGAGAAGGAGGGAGGCAGACAAAATGATACAAAGATAAAGAGCAGCACAAAGAGGAGGCGGCAAAGGAAGAGGATGAGGAAAAGCCGCAAAGTGGAGTGAAAGAATCCAGATGATTAAAGAGGGAAGCAAAAACGGTATGATGAGGGACAGATGTAGAGAAGGTTAGAAAGTGCAAGAAGCAAAAGAGAGTGAACAAGATTGGATAAAGAATTAAAGACAGGATGATGAGAAAGAAAAAAAACGAGAGATGCACAAACAAAGAGAGATGGGAAATAGAATTGAGAAAAAAAAGGCAAGTGAACGCGAATGAGAGCACATTAGATGGTGAGGAAAATGTACAATAGGACAAAGAAGGAGCACGTGTGGAACAACAATAACAGTGAGATTGTACAGAGAGAGAGAGGAGGGAAGTTGGAGCAACAACAACAGGGCAAAGAGGTAAATTTGACAAATAAGTAAAGGAAACAGAGTGAAAAACAATCAAGGGGTCAAAGCATGGACGTGCAGATGTCAAAGGCAGTGTAGCACAAACAGCAAGGTGATGACAACGCAAAAGAGATGCAATAAAACAAGAGCAAAGGGAAGGAAGACGAGTGGATGATGGTGCAAAACAGAAGGAAGAAATGGATGAAGAGAATGATCAGGACAGGAAGGAGAGATTTCACACAGTGACAGCAGGGCGGAGGATGAAAGAAGATAAAGAAGGAAAAGAACCGACATGAGAAAGCGAGAGAGAGAGCGAGAGAGAGAGAGAGTGAAAAAGGAGAAAGTAATACATAGTGGGGAAAGGGAGAAAAAGAGGAAGCGGAGGGTTAGTGACAGTTTGTCCACGTCAGCCAGAAACTAGTCCAGAGATCAGGAGGACAATCAGGAACTGCCAAGATCAGCACACATACACGAGCACACATACACGAGCACACGGTGCATGCGCAGGCAGTTATATACTGAACCACGTCAATAGGCTCACATACACCAGCACAAGATACAACACATGTACATGCACACAGACAGAGAATTCAGTGTGTGCGCTACAACACTTCTGGATTATTTGTAAGAGCAAGTTTAATTTAGATAAAAGTAACACTTATGTTTTGGGGATTCAAAGTAAATACAAAACTAATTATGTTGATTTTTCAACTGACATTCTGGAAAATGTGTGTACTGTATTCACTTTTCGGTTTAGAGTTAGAGAAGAAACACTTGTGTCTAGTAGAAGCTTTTTGTTACCTCTGGACAGAACCAGTCCAGCTGTTTTCACATGTTGCTCACCTGTCTTTATGCTAAGCCAGGCTAACAAATAGTCCCCCACACATTGTTTTTACTCTTCGTTTCTTGTGTGGATGACGTGATGTGACCTAATGAGCTTAAGATGTGCTGGCAGACTGATTTTGTTACCTTCATATCAGAGCTGAACGAGCTGTTTCCAGTCGTTGTGCTAAGCTGTAGGTTTATATTTAACAGATATGACCGTGACAGTGATCTTCTTATCTAACTCTCGTCACGAAAGCAAGTAACCATATTTCCCAAAATGCCAACTGATTCCTTTACTATAAAGCAATAAGAAGCCTGAACAAATAAAACACCTGCCTAAGGGCAACGCACACTGGGGGTGTTGCATCGTGCTCCACCACATGACGTGAATAACACACTCTGGGAGCTGCACAAATTCAGTGCGGGACTACCAAAATGGGTGAGTATTGCATTCCTTTGACCCCAGTATTGCATTCCTTTGACCCCAGTATTGCATTCCTTTGACCCCAGGCAAATAGGACAATAGTGTCAACTTGCAATGGCGCATCAATTCACCACAGGTGTGTGTGCATTGAAACTAATGGGTCCGTGTGTTTTGACGCGCATCACATGTCACCAGTGTGCATTGCAGTTTAGTCTTTCCAGGATTTAGAAAAGCCATGATGGAACCTAATGAAAGATAATTCAGATTCATGTTAATATGGGTCTTATTTTCATAGCCTTGGCCATAAATTACTAAAAATCTGGGAAATTCTGAAAATGCAACATGGTCACAGGACCAACAGATTATTAAAACCACTTTGTGAAAGTAAAATGAAAGCAATCCGAGACAAAATGTTTGCAACATTATAACTGCACGAGAATACTGTGTTTTATCTTGTACTACAGCTAATTCAGCAGGTCAAAGCTGACACTGGAGGGGAGTCTTTTATAAGCTGTAATGAAAGCTTACAACAGACAACCTGGATGATGTTTTTGTTTCCTCTTCCAAACAACTTTGGCTAAGCTGCTTTAAAACCTTTCATGATCATTTGACTCCAGATTTACCTGAGTACAAAGTTATTACTCTTATAAAGAATGATATCTAAAACCACCAAAATCAGACACTATAATAAAAAATTCTTAAAGACACTTCCAGGACTCGCGGGCATGGCATTTGTGTGTGTGTGTGTGTGTGTGTGTGTGTGTGTGTGTGGCTTCCTTCTCCTTACCACATGTGGTACAGGCATGGGCTGTGGGGCCATGGGTGCAGAACTCCACGAAAGATGTAGAGAAGGTAAGAAAGTGCAAGAAGCAAAAGAGAGTGAACAAGATTGGATAAAGAATTAAAGACAGGATGATGAGAAAGAAAAAAAACGAGAGATGCACAAACAAAGAGAGATGGGAAATAGAATTGAGAAAGTGCAAGAAGCAGAAGAGAGTGAACAAGATTGGATAAAGAATTAAAGACAGGAGGATGAGAAAGAAAAAAAAACGAGAAGCACAAACAAAGAGAGATGGGAAACAGAATTGAGAAAAAAAAAGGCAAGTGAACGCGAATGAGAGCACATTAGATGGTGAGGAAAATGTACAATAGGACAAAGAAGGAGCACGTGTGGAACAACAATAACAGTGAGATTGTACAGAGAGAGAGGAGGGAAGTTGGAGCAACAACAACAGGGCAAAGAGGTAAATTTGACAAATAAGTAAAGGAAACAGAGTGAAAAACAATCAAGGGGTCAAAGCATGGACGTGCAGATGTCAAAGGCAGTGTAGCACAAACAGCAAGGTGATGACAACGCAAAAGAGATGCAATAAAACAAGAGCAAAGGGAAGGAAGACGAGTGGATGATGGTGCAAAACAGAAGGAAGAAATGGATGAAGAGAATGATCAGGACAGGAAGGAGAGATTTCACACAGTGACAGCAGGGCGGAGGATGAAAGAAGATAAAGAAGGAAACGAACCGACATGAGAAAGCGAGAGAGAGAGCGAGAGAGAGAGAGTGAAAAAGGAGAAAGTAATACATAGTGGGGAAAGGGAGAAAAAGAGGAAGCGGAGGGTTAGTGACAGTTTGTCCACGTCAGCCAGAAACTAGTCCAGAGATCAGGAGGACAATCAGGAACTGCCAAGATCAGCACACATACACGAGCACACATACACGAGCACACGGTGCATGCGCAGGCAGTTATATACTGAACCACGTCAATAGGCTCACATACACCAGCACAAGATACAACACATGTACATGCACACAGACAGAGAATTCAGTGTGTGCGCTACAACACTTCTGGATTATTTGTAAGAGCAAGTTTAATTTAGATAAAAGTAACACTTATGTTTTGGGGATTCAAAGTAAATACAAAACTAATTATGTTGATTTTTCAACTGACATTCTGGAAAATGTGTGTACTGTATTCACTTTTCGGTTTAGAGTTAGAGAAGAAACACTTGTGTCTAGTAGAAGCTTTTTGTTACCTCTGGACAGAACCAGTCCAGCTGTTTTCACATGTTGCTCACCTGTCTTTATGCTAAGCCAGGCTAACAAATAGTCCCCCACACATTGTTTTTACTCTTCGTTTCTTGTGTGGATGACGTGATGTGACCTAATGAGCTTAAGATGTGCTGGCAGACTGATTTTGTTACCTTCATATCAGAGCTGAACGAGCTGTTTCCAGTCGTTGTGCTAAGCTGTAGGTTTATATTTAACAGATATGACCGTGACAGTGATCTTCTTATCTAACTCTCGTCACGAAAGCAAGTAACCATATTTCCCAAAATGCCAACTGATTCCTTTACTATAAAGCAATAAGAAGCCTGAACAAATAAAACACCTGCCTAAGGGCAACGCACACTGGGGGTGTTGCATCGTGCTCCACCACATGACGTGAATAACACACTCTGGGAGCTGCACAAATTCAGTGCGGGACTACCAAAATGGGCTAGTATTGCATTCCTTTGACCCCAGTATTGCATTCCTTTGACCCCAGGCAAATAGGACAATAGTGTCAACTTGCAATGGCGCATCAATTCACCACAGGTGTGTGTGCATTGAAACTAATGGGTCCGTGTGTTTTGACGCGCATCACATGTCACCAGTGTGCATTGCAGTTTAGTCTTTCCAGGATTTAGAAAAGCCATGATGGAACCTAATGAAAGATAATTCAGATTCATGTTAATATGGGTCTTATTTTCATAGCCTTGGCCATAAATTACTAAAAATCTGGGAAATTCTGAAAATGCAACATGGTCACAGGACCAACAGATTATTAAAACCACTTTGTGAAAGTAAAATGAAAGCAATCCGAGACAAAATGTTTGCAACATTATAACTGCACGAGAATACTGTGTTTTATCTTGTACTACAGCTAATTCAGCAGGTCAAAGCTGACACTGGAGGGGAGTCTTTTATAAGCTGTAATGAAAGCTTACAACAGACAACCTGGATGATGTTTTTGTTTCCTCTTCCAAACAACTTTGGCTAAGCTGCTTTAAAACCTTTCATGATCATTTGACTCCAGATTTACCTGAGTTTAAAGACACTCCCAGGGCTCGCGGGCGTGGCATTTGTGTGTGTGTGTGTGTGTGTGTGTGTGTGTGTGTGTGGCTTCCTTCTCCTTACCACATGTGGTACAGGCATGGGCTGTGGGGCCATGGGTGCAGAACTCCACGGTGTGGTTGACATGGTCTTATTCTGCCAGTTATGGCCACCAGTCAGCTTTTTCTCTCCAGGCTGGTTCCACTGCATCTCTGGCCTGGAAAGGGATGAGCAGAGCAACAAAACAAGCACACTGTTAGGGTTATGTTTTTCTGCACCTGCTCAACCTGAGACCAATTCCTCAAACAATAAAAGAAACTAATGTCTTAGAAGCATGGTCTATTTAGTTGTAGATTCTTCTTTTTACTTTATTAGATTTTTTTTTTTAATGTTTTTCTGTGATGCACATCATAAATTTTATAGACAAATAATGTTGCAAGCACTGCAAATACAAGAGTATAAACCTGTATGAGAGCCGTCTGCCTCTACCTGGAATCGGTTTGTCACAAAATTAAACATAAATCGAGTTTAAATTGTAACAAATTAGATGTTGACTGTAGGTGTTAAACACTGGGTGCTTAGGTGGCAGAATTTAGGTAGGAATCCTGGTAATAGTCTAAATACTCCATCCAGTACTACAACTCCCAACACTTACTTTTTGGCCCCACCAAACTGCAGATCTGGGGAGGGACAGAAACAGAGAGCAACTGAGTGAAAGACAGGGAGGAAGGTATTTCAGTGTTATATACCAATTTCTCTGATTTTACTTCATCTTGCAATAACAGAAACTAGTTGCATCTTAAGTGATTGTTTTCCCTTTGCTGACACAATCACCTAGAAACACACATGCATCTCAACACTTACTGCCCACGAGGTTGGCCAGCGACGAGTCAAGGTCGTTGGCTAGCAGCTTTCCTCCAGGATGGATGGCCATTTGAGGAGGAGGAGGAGGAGGAGGTGCAGTGTGTGTGGGAACTGTTGGTTTCAATAGATCCCCTAGAGCATCAAAACCTGCAGGAGAAATGAACTCATACATGTAAAATGAGCTGAAAACATATAGCAATACATGTCGATATGACAGGCTGGTAACATGATACAGATGTAAATGAACATAGACGTTAGGACATCATACAGACACAGACTGAGTCGATAGACACATCAGATTAAATATGTATTGAGGAGCACACTATACAAAAAAAAAAAAGTAAATTACTGGAAGCAAAAACAGGCATGACCGTTTGCTAAAACCCTTCCAGGAACAGTGACCAGGAGGTCTGTCAAGTTCTCCACATGTTAAAGCTGTGTACATGAGGCCGTACTAATAAAATACTCAGCATTTCAAGAATTAGGAGATTTTATTTTTAGCCTTTCCAAGGAATGGGTTTACCAGTGTGTTTGTCTGCAAACATTAGCTATCTTACTGGCTTCTGCAGGGACCAAGCAATACCTTCAAAATCAAAGAATATTTCATTAACCAACATCTCTAATTTGTGGAACTCTAGATTTGTCCAAAAAAAAAAAAACAAATCATTCACAATACCACTTCCACTGTTTAGTATTTCTCAATCATGTGAAAGTCGGTGCTGCCACTATAACAGCCTTTAGACTAATGTTAGCAGCTCTGTCCTGCCGCTCCTTTCTTCTTTTATATGTCCACTTATAACACATTTTTAATAGTCTGTGTCCCGGTTTTAGCTAATGACTGCTTTCCTTAATTTTCTGGCTGGGCTGTTCTTGTCTCTTTCACCCAACTCCCTCATCTGTACTGATTTTATTTTATTTTAGAGTCTTGTATTGTCCTTGAGCCTTTGGGGCTTCTTTGATTTTGAAAAGTGTTTTTGTATCTTCTTTTGTAACCACACTGGAAAAAAAAAAAATCTATGGTCACCAACTGCTTTAGTCTATCTCCGTTTTAAATACATTGCTTCAAATAAATTAAAGTAGAAACTCTGCAACTGTTAATAACTGTAAGCTAAGATTGTCAGCGCTTAGTAAATGATCATCTGTAAAACCACGACAACCTGAAAAACAGGGAAACTCATGCTTGAGGTGAAGTTAGAGAACAGAACCAACTGTTACTTGCATTAAACGTATCAGTGAGATGAAGTTTCATCCTGAATCTAATGAAAGCTGACTGAGCTATTTCAATGAAGCAGAGCTGGACTGTTTTATCTGAGAATATTGCTGAACTGTATCTCCTTAATATGAACCTCCATCTCACTACTAGCCTTGCTGTTAACTGAATTCTTCCTGACTTATTTTTTAGCATTTACCTACATGGACAGAGACTCCTGTTCGTTATATTTTTATTTACTGCCATAGTGGCTGTGCACCCTGAAGTCTGAAGAGTGATTCGTTTTGAACATGTATGCGTACATGCTTGCGTGAGAGTGTCATCATGTTTGTCCATGGTCGGTAGGTGCAAATGATGCCCTGTGTTGGGCTGTGTGTGTAAGTCCTTGTGGTAATTTCCCATGTCAGCACTCATTCAGCTAATAATTCCGTATTACTCTGCTGTAGAAACCTTAAGGTGTGTGTAAGAGCTGATATATGGGTACCTGGTAGTGAAAGCAGTTAACATGGCTAAAATAAAAGGAGAAAAGGCAAGCATAAAAAAGGCACATTGAAAGTGAAACCTCATTATAATCTGTAACCCCTGCTCCTTGCATTATTGTTTCTTCCATAGATCCATTAACCATTACGGGATAAAAATCAATACCTGGAGACAGGAAGCAGAAATAAATCAAAGACAGGAGCAAGGTGAGAATACAGAGCTGGAAAGAAATGAACAAGAAAAACCACCACTGTAAACAGTGTCCCTGCAAAGCACGAAGGAGGAGAAAGGTGGAAAATAAGGGAGAAAGGCAACTGATAGTTGGAAAAACAGGGAGGAATAATATTTAGCTAGGAAGCAGTGTGTTGGTCTGACGGTGGTGCTGACACAAGAGATTCAGAAAATGCTTTTCCTGCTAGCTTAGCAGATGAGACACAATGAGGGAGAGAAGGGGAAGCGTACAAACAGAAAGAAGACAGCAAGGGGAAAGTTCAAGAGACGACAATGGGGAAACAAGACATAGGAAAGAAAGTAAAACGAGGATGAGGAAAGAAATAGTTTTGCCTATTTTTCAACTCTCTTCACCCTAATATCTCTCCCACTGTCAGCATTTCCATTATTGTTGTCACTGTGATAAAGCACTTCAGCAATGTGGCTAATTTTTTGTTTCTTAAACCACTGTGTTGGTAAAGGCCAGTGAATTAAATTGAACCAAGCGAGCGACAGAAGACAGGCAGAGAGATAAAGAATAAAGGCAGGAATGAAAGAAAGAAACTGTGAAACAAACCCTCGCCATAGATCATACACCCCGGGGCAGTAAGAAAAACACAAGGAAGGCACGAGTCGGGCGCTGAAGGAGGAAGAAAAGGAGGCGAGGGAGTGAGCACTGACAGTGTTGTATCAAACTGGGAGGATAATGCTACAAGTGCTGGCTTAGGTGTTTCAGCAGTGGATTTAACAATCACTAGAGCACAAGATCAAAGGGAAGAAAGAAAGTAAATCCATATCTGGCGTTCAATTCCAAAACACTGGGAAGGTGAAATGTGTTGCTTCTAAATGTGACAGGAATTTAAATTATCTAAAGCCCTTTTCAGACATGGAATATGGCGGCTTAATCCATTGATTCAAATTGTTTATTATTAGTAAATGTTCTTCTTGTATCGCTTTATTCACATATGGCGGGACAATAATTGTGCAATATTTTGCACCTGGTGCACAAGAGGGAACAGTGTTGTATATATTTTCACATCAAGTGCCTGCTAGAAGTTCCCATCTCTGCACTGCTGCCAGTGCCGTTTAAGGACTGTGGGTCACAGGAGGCTTCGACAGCATCGCTCCACATTAAGACAGGTTTTGGAGCAGATTTCTACAATAAAAATATTTGAAAAAGTTACATACTAACTTTAAACCTCTAGTCGACAACTGCTGTTTTTGTTGGCTGAAATGACAACTGTGGCTAACAGATTTTAGCTAGTTAGCCAATTAAGCTGAAGTCAGCTTTAAGAGTCTGGTTGAAAACTGTTCCTGGCTGACTTATTAATGTTCCCAAATGACTCATTTTAAAGTGACAGCCCTGCAAATGGAGTGTTAAATATGAATTTGATGGGTTTAAATTTACATTCACATCAGGCACCACTCAATAAGGAAGGGCAGTCATATTTCAACTTGGAGAAATTCCTTGCGTGCGGTGAACGAACTACAGATGGTGAAAACAAGGATGAGGGAGCGGGTAAGATCCAGATCAGCCACACAATGTGCAGATATGTGATTGTGTTAACTGAAACTAAGGCTGACCATGAGCAGAGTTGAGACAACCACATAAACACAATACAATAACACTTAAACATGTTTAAATCCAAAATTCTGAAAACTGATTTGAAAAATCAAAGAATTTTAAAACTGCATCCCTTGATGAAAGATACAGTATAACACATACACATTAACAGGAAGATTCATTTGTTCAAAGTCCCAAATAAATGATTATCTTCCACTGAAAACTGAAGCAAAATCCCATCTCGAGTTGGTGTAGAAAATTCATTGCAAGGACCGTCAGTAAGAGAAGACACAACAGACATGAATGATAGCAAAGTGAGAATACCTCATAAAGAAATCACAAAACAACAAGTAAGCTTTAGTAACACAAATACAAACTGTTCACTGCCCTTCAGAAAACTCAAATCACAACATAAGAGTGCCTCGACTTCTCTGTACACCAAAGCATAAATACAGTGAGATAACGGTTAAAAGTGAACCAAAAATCCTATTTAGAAGAGAGTTTGTGGAGGAGACAGAGGAAAGAGAAAGGACTGAATTGCAAATATGAGGAGGGCAAGATAAGAGGAGGAGGAGGAGAACAGATGGAAAGGAGTTGCCTGGGTGATTCTTGCCTTGTGAGATGGGGAGACGATGAGGAGAAATACACCGGGGGAGGGGAGAGCGGGTGGGAGCGGCGTGAACGACAAGACAAAACAGATGAACAGAAGCACACAGATGGGATGGAGCAAAAAGACAGATGACTAGCAAACAGACACCAACATGGACATACACACAAACACTACCAAACATGCTTACACCTGGACACAGGGATATGCAGACAATGCATGGGTGTGCACACAGAAAGAAATAGAGACATACAGTAGCTGCACACACAAAAGCATTTTTCTGAGATGCTGCCAGCTGCCCAGATGGTATATTAGTAGTCACAGTGGCAGCTTCAACAGGCCCTATTAATAGAAAGAAGCGAGTCTGTCCAAAGCCAGAAGCAGGCTGCACACTAAAGCCACAAGCCTCCGACTGTTATCTCTGAGTAGAGCAGAAGAGATTGACGGGGGTTAAACGATTAGAGCAAGCCAGAAATCAACAGCTCCTTCTGCACCAAGGATTTGTAAAACATTTACTGGAATACAGACCAAACAGATTCACTTTGGCAAATGTTTGAAGCAGTAGTAGTACAGTGGTACAAATGCTAATACCTCTAATAATGGCAGGATAATGTGATAGTAACATGCCATAAAATTCTTACTTTCTGCCAACTAATCAAAGATTCAGATTCCATTTGGAAGATGACTTCCCACCAGATTTGACTAGTGATAATAATCCTGTTTTGCTAAAGCGATCCTAAGAACTGAACAGTATGTGCAGCAACTGCTGATGTGAAACAGCTGGCTGATTAATCCTAGAAAGTTCCCAGTAATACTGATTGATGGGCACTGTCACTATGAAAACATGCTCAGCTAGTTAAAGACAAAGAATAAGGCTCGAGTGAGAGTTCACTTCAGACCAAAAAAAAAAAAACTGGAGCACCACATTCCTGACTGTTCAAAGGTTCCACAGAAAATTACACAAAAATTAAAAGCATAAAACAACTGCAGTAGCTTAAAGACCATCTATACCCGAGAAAACAAGGAACTCTGAGATAAGATGAAGCAATTCAAACTCGATAATTTCACCAAACTCCTATAGTGTAACTTTCTCTAAATAGTCTTTAGATGACCTCTGCAAGGACTCTGTCTTATCTACTGTGCCTCCTTTGGCACCGTCGATAACTCGCTGTGCCTTAAAATTATATGCTCCGCAGGGGTGGCTCGAGATCCAAAAGGGCTGAGAAGCGCCGAGATTGATTGTGTCAGTTGCTAAGATGTTAAAAGATAGTAAGCTAATAAGAAGGCTCGGAGCCAAAGTCTGAGACTTGCAACACTTAATAGCCATCAGTGGAAAGCTGTTACCATTACGGACAGGAACCGACAACAGGACAGAATGTACTACTTGGAGAGTAGGTTCCTACACACTGTCTACTCCATTCAAGACTTCTAGACAGTTTGTTCACAGGATGAAAACATTTTGGTTGTTGATTAAATGATGCACCCCAAAAATTTACAAGAAATACCTGCCAACTATCCCTTTATATTTTAAGAATCATTGAGGAAACATTGAATGATAATACTGACAAGTACCGCATTAAAACATGTGATGATATGAACAACTGAATGAAATGCAACATAAAAACAATAGTATTTAACACATTTCCTTTGTCACCCTGAAAAAAAAAAGTCAGTTTACTTGCTGATAATTGCAGACCTATGTAAAAACCCTTAAAGAAAAGAAGTTATCATGGAGAACCAGAACTGGGATCAGTTAACTTTCAATCAAGTCAAAACAATACGACCAAAGAACTTTAAAGATCCTGAAAACCTATGTTCTCAAACTCCTCTGCGCTTTTCTTAAAAGTTTCAATTGGGCAGGATCTGTTGGAATTTCAGTGTATCAATCAGGAATTAGCCATATTTAAATCAAAATCTGCTTGTGTCAATCAAACCTGATCAAACAGATTACTTCACATTATCTACCATTATGGAGAAACACCAAATTTTCAAGTCAGTTCCTTTTTCAAGTTACTTGAAAATGAAAAATTCCAAAATCGATTTTAAGTCAACTGATCCCTGCTTCTCTGGATTTTGATTTTGTTGTACAGTTACCGTCATTGAAGGCTATAAGATCCCAAATAACAGGCTGTGTGCCAAAGTTAGAAAGTTACAAACACCCACTCACTGTCAGAAACACCCACAGATTCCTGGAACTAGTCAGAAGGTTAGTTAAATGCTATGCGTGCGCTGCCAGCAAAGCCAGAAGGGTTTTAGTTTTCAGACTGCCTCTGTCTGGACAGTCTGAGAGAGAGAGTGGGGTTTACCGGCTGCAGGCTGTGGGCCGTTGTTACTGGGCGTGGTCTTACTCCCAAACACAGCATCGAAATCTAGAGTCATGGCTGGGACGGTCTGCTGCAGAGGCTGGCTCTCCATTCCTGGGGAATGCAGTTAAATATGACTGATTAAAGCCCTGTCTGTGTCTGGTAACAGCTTGACTAGTCTGACCTGACAAAAAAAAAATAACCATAGCTATAAACATCACATTGTGATTTAGATTGGGCTGAAATCTTCTCTTTGCACTCATGATTCCACCACCTCCAGATAAACTAATCCATTTAGATTAGCAATGTGGTCATTACATCCACAGTGTCCTGCCTTTGTTGTTGCTTAGTAACTTGGGACTCTGCACAGGCGGTCGGGAATGGCAGGCTTCCATTAGAAAGTTAAACCTGTGCACGAGGAAATCCACTGATGCGCTCTATGTTTTGTTGTCTTTATCCATATCCCTGTAGGGGATCAGGGTTTGAAATCTCAAAGAGTCTTTGTGGGATCCATGAAACCAGAATACAGAGCACAATCCCCAGGAGAGATGGTTAAAAACAGGGGCTAACAATAAAACATGTCAGCGGCGGCAACCACCAGCCTTCCAAGAAACACAACAGATCATCAGTCAGTTGACCCAGAAATCAGGACAGTATAGTAAAAAGTCCATGTAAGCCTGAGTGAGCCCATGTGAGAATACAGCAGATTATAATCTGGAGTATTCACAGCGAGTTAGTGGGCATGTTGACGTTCTATCATGTGACTAGTGTGAACCTAGAAAAATACAAACGTGATGGTGAGGAAAATTGTCATTTCCAATGAAGATGCCAACAAAAATATCTAAGTGAAGACACAACGAGATTCAGGAACTTCTGTCATTAAGAGCTGGTGCCAGAACAGTCAGACAAATTTTATGAATGTTTATGACCAAATTACAAACTGGCTATGTGATCACTTCATGTCCCGCCTCTTGCGTGCTCTACCCAAGTACCCCTCTCTCACTTAAACCAAACAGAGAATTTCCATGGGTGAGAACATATCTGACACAAACTATTCCCTCCTACATGTGTGAAAGGGCAACTTTAGACGAAGCCTGGGCCTGATTCCACAGACATAGGCCAGAGTTCATGTGTGAAAACAGCTTAACTTGGCATAAAGACTGGAAATGGGGAAACTATCATGTCACTGCCTACAGGTAACAAAATCCACCTACTAAAGCCGATAAAACTGCCTAATTATCACATTACATCTCATTTGTTTAATATGATCAAAAACTGGGAAATTGTGAAAATGTCAAATGTCCAGCACTTAACATGCTGGTAAAATGGCAAATTGTCATTTTCGATTTATGATTTTGGATTGAACAATCAAAGATATGTGCTAATTTGTGAGCTTTAGAGGTGCCACTAGGTGGATTTTGTTATTCTGGGACTCAGTCCCTGTTTCAGATAGGCAGATCAAACTTTAGGATAGATGGCTAGGGCGTTCAAATGTCTGCTTTGTTTAATGGTAAGGGGAAAACACAGCACAAACTGTGTCGGGTCTGAACACCACACTCTCGGGCACGGGTCAAGTTCGGACTGAAATGTGTGACCCAATCTGTGCTCTAATTCAGGTCTTAATGCTAAGCTAAGCTAGCCGACTGATGGCTAAAGCTTTATATTTAATGGGCCGATATGAGAGCGGTATCAAATGTCTCATTCAACTAAGGTAGAAAGCAGATGAGCACATTTCCCACAAATTTCAAATGCTTTTTAAAGCAAGCAAAAAATTTTTGTTGCATCTACCGAAAACGTCAGTGTCTCATACATTTAGACTTGGACACTAAATGAAGTATCCTTTGTGCCATGTCGCAGCCAGTGATAATGTGCAGGGCTGATATCTGAACTAGGAAGTAGCTCCAACTCTAAAGTCTGCCCAAACACTAAGTGGCTTCAGTTAAATCCTCTGTCATAAAGCCTACTCTGCACTGACAGTACCTCCAGATGCATCTTTTTGCTAATTTTTGATTTGCGATACAATAGCTGATTGTGAGCTGTAATGTCGTCTTTTTTCCTCAAACAGACGGGGTGCATACTGTAAAACAACCCTAATTTGTGGAAGTGTATATTCTTGCCCAGCATTTCTGCTGCAGCTACATTTTTCATGCTGACAAACAACAAAACAAGGAGAGGGTGGTGGAATCACCGAAACTTCCTCAGCCAGGTTTACTGAGCTGCTCAGCGTGTGAACATACGGTTACAAGATTTATTAGAACAAAGATATTGCAGGTACTTCCAATGAAAACACCTCCACCCAAAACTTGTTTAACTATCTCTACACAAGACACTGGCATGACACATTAACAGGGAGAGAGTGATGGTGGACTGATGGATGGTTTTCATAAAAAGCCACATGAATGATCTGACAGACAAATGGCCAGACAGGTGAATGACGTGTGTCTTCTGTGTGCCCCTGCTGCTGCCCTGTGCAGGTTATTCTGTGTGTGTGTGTGTGTGTGTGTGTATAAAGGTGGCGTACCTCCCCAGGCACTGTTGGCAGTGGAGATGGAAGGAGTGCTCTGCACAGCGGGGATGAAGGCCGGCTGAAGATCAAACAGGTCACTGTTCAGATTGGGGACACTGCAAAAGAAAAGAGGGAAGGAACGAGGGATAATGAAGCAGTGAGAGTAGAGGAGAATAAAAGAGTGGTGGAAAAAAGTAAATGAAATAAAATGAATAGATGAAGAGAAACAGAAAGACAGATGGTGATAGAGTATTAATATTTAATCAAACAAGCATAAATAGCTACAGCCACCAATAAAAATGTTCCTTTGTCACAAATAAAGATGAATACTCTCCCTAAAGGGCTGTAAAAACTTCCACAGAGTAATAAAACAGTTACAAGCAGTAAATTCAGAGCATGTTATGGTGTATGCATGTTGAATACTAATTCTATTCTAATTATCAATAATAAATAGTTTTGCTGTAACTCAGTTACAGCTGAAATCAGTCGAGGATGAGATGCAGACGATTTGTTGGGGCAGACATCTAAAACAATACAAACTCACTTTACATACTTGTTAAATAACTGACACTCATAAGTCTGCTTATTAGTTTATATTGTTTTGGATGTTCAATAATTCTCGCCTGACTTTAAGAGCTGTCATCTTTCACTTTGCTCATTTTAATGAGGGCCATAGTGGAAATAAGCTTTCACCTTTATTGTATTTGACTGGCATTTTTAATTATATGTCAGGACAAAGTAATTGCAGTCTTGTATCTGCAAGTATTACTGTCAGGTCTATCAGTGCTCATTATTCAACAGGTTGAAAATTTAGAGGACTTAAACCTGCGCTAACAGATTTTTTTTGGCCACTTAAGGAAAGTAGAAACAAGCTGCTATGGTGAACTCGTATTTCTGACCAACTGATAAATGCAGGTCAAGCATATGTTTTCCTTTTATCTCTGTACTAGATCCTGGGGAAATATCTGCGCCTTTAGCTCCACTAAGTTCACCACAGAGATGATATCTTTCTTTGTGGTGCAGACAGGTAACATATAGTGAGTCGGTGAGAGCGGTGAAAGCAAACAAAAACAGCAAAGTTATGTGTCATACGAATTACCCGTGGATTTGCCACTGTGAGCAAACCTTTTCATATACAGTTATTTGGTCCATTGTTAGCTTGAACTGGGCTACACTACTTTTAAAAGTACTTCTTTAGGATATACTGCAAGTGTCACTTAAAATAGTGGACATGTGAATGTACGGTATATGGAGTTGAACCTTTGGGCTAAATGGTGTGCGTGCATGTATTTTTGTTTGTGTGCACCTGTTAGTAGACAGTGTGGAGCTGAACAACTCCGGGGTTTGTGTGATGTGGTGGTTGTTAGCGCTGCCTATCGACTGGCTGCTGGGGGAGGCAGAGGGTGGAGTCTGCATGCTGATCTCCTTCAGGCGCTGGTCCTGGAAAAGCAACACCATAATTTCATCAGAAAATGAATGATTTCCCCACTGGAAAGGAATAATAATATGAATATATACCACACACACACACACACAGGTTTTGTTTCCAATAAATCCAAATCATTTTCAACATTTTCACTCATGAACATATACACTCTAGTCAAAGACAAACGCACCTAAATACGCTCACACAGAGAACACCAAACCACAAGGCGCTGCAGCGGGTGATGAAAACTGCCCAACGCATCCCAATGACTCCACTTCCAGCCACCGAGGGTATCCACAGGGAACGCTGTCTCTGACGTGCTCGCAGCATTCTCAAGGACTCCTCTCACCCTGCCCACAAACTGTCTGACCTCCTGCCCTCTGGGAGGCGCTTCAGGAGCCTCCAGACAAAAACCAGTAGACTCAGGAACAGCTTCTTCCCGACAGCCGTCTCCTTACTGAACTCTGTCCCCCGTTGACCCCCCCACTACCTTTCTCTATACCACTACACACACCTCCCCCCTTCTCATCTCTCCTCCCGAGACTAATGCAATACATTTCTGTTACCTGTAACACTGAAGTGATCTGTTAATACTCTCACAGGATGCTGCTCTGTATTCATTTGCACACTATGAAGATACTCCATATTTATCTTTACATCATTTACATCCACTGAACTGTTCACTTGTAACTTTTTTTATTCTGCACCATTTCATCCCATTTCATCCCATTGCACTAGTGTTCCATAAGCTTAATGTACCTTGTCCATTACTGTAATTTGAATCCACAGTCTGTTGTACATCGTACATTACCCTACATATCTTACTGTAAATATCAATTATACATATCCATTGGTAAATTAGTTCTGACTGTTCATAGAGTAAATACTGCGCACTCTTCACTGCTGTTATTGCACTTCTGGTTAGATGCTAAACTGCATTTCTTGCCTTGTATTTGTGCATGGGTAATGACAAAGTTTAAGATAATCTAATTATATAATATCTGTATTATTTCAAACAGTATTTGACCCTATCCAGCTGAGGCCCAGGTCTTAAGTGCAGACTATTCTCTCTGAAACCAAACACACATACATTGGTAAAGCTTGACAATTTCAAGTCTCAAACTGCTCTCAAGTAAGAAACCCGACTGGATAACACATTAAAGCTACCCGAGGATATTTTACTTGCAGATCTTATATCAGTTATCCAGTACTCTGAAGTTGTTCCAACACATCTAAACATCAGCGCAGGTTTTTTATAATGCCACAGGTGAAAATATTAACACTTTTTGCTTTATTGATTGATTTTTCTCATTTATTTTGCCTATGCTCTGCTTGCATCTCCCTCTGGATCTTATTACTTTAGCCTCTGCATTGACCTAATTTCTCCATAGGGATCGATACATTTATGTCTTATGTGGGAGCATGAACAGTAATCTCCTCCTCCACCCTCCCCCAAATCAGATTAAGTAATGTTTGGAAGACACAAAGTAATTTATAAAACAGCAGCATTTTAAATTTTTGGTATGACTGACCACTGTGGGAATGGCAATGCTGCCTCATGGACACAAATTTTAAAAGTCAAACTGTAAAATATGATATAATCAAAGGAATTTGGACTTTGAGCAGATTAATAAACAATCTCCTGCTGTCCTCTTTATTTATATTCCAAGTGTGTAGCGAGGAACAAATGAGAACAACTGCTGTTTGGGCTAAGGCCTCAGCTGGACAGTAGCTGAGTGTGCAAGTGTCTTTGTACGTGTACAGACGTGTGTGCTGAGCCCATATGGACACCAGAGCACACAGACAGCTGGACTAGAGTATCTGGACAACCCCTTCTGACCCCGGCTCGCTTGCTCTTGTTTTTCACTCCGTTATGTTCTCTCTCTCACTCTATCTTCCCTCGCCTTTCTGACTAAAGTCAAAGGTAATCAGTGGACCTTGGCAGAAACAGGGCAACCAAGGGCACAGAGTAAACACTGCATTAAAATCCAATCAACCACACGCATAAACAAGCACACCAAACACTAACACACACTGCGCCTCATCTGCCAGGATATACACATGCTTCATACATCAGTAAAGCTCAAAGAGATATTGCAAACACTGCTAGACATATTGTAACTTCTTTGCCAAGATTAAGCATGCTTAACACATACACACACCCCCAAAGTCGCCGTATGCCTGTTTGGTAGCTTCACTGCTCTTACTCAATTACAGTTTGCTGCAAGGCAGGACTCCCAGGGATGGAGCAAGAAATGTCAACACATTTTATACTCGACTATACTCTATTGCTCAGTTCACCACTGAGACTTTTGGCCTTTATCCTCAACTGGAGTTCAGAACTCAACAAAGTTGCTGGGTGATCAATCAGCAACGACATAGTCAATCTGATTTCTACAGCACAGCAAAGCAGCGCACTGTTTTTTTTTTTTTATGAACAATTTGTGCCATTTGTCAGGGCTCAAGTGTTGTGTAGTTCCTGCAGATTTGCTGTTTATTCTCTCGCTGCAAGCATAGTCACGACACGGTCTTACAACTAGGGCAGTGACTGCGGTTAGTAGTTCAGAAGATCAAATCCCTTTATGCACTTCTGTTTCTGTATATAGTAAAATCTACATGAACGTTTTCATTTCATGCTTGACATTTTCACGCTCCTCCTCAGTGTTTCCTTAAAATAAGGTTTAATTATATAACAAGTTCCTAAGGAGTCTGAAAGTTCACTGCAGAGTGGCTGGCTAATGCAATGTTAAATTAAGGGCTAATATAAAAATAACTATGCTTCGTAGACCAACCACCACTAAACATTTTTGAATAATTTTGAATGGCATGACAATAAATAAAACAAATGCAAGGATATTTGCACAGACATAAGGATAAACAATGATCCCATTCAGACTTTTTAAAAAGTGTCCTTGGCAATCACAAGTGGAAAGCACTAAATACAAGTGTACACAACCACCAAGACGGATTGTGATCTAATCACTGAAACCTCTTACTGAGATGGTTTGGGAAGCATTTGGCTGCATATCATTTGTATAAACATAATGCTTCTTGATGAGTCTCTGACAAGGCCGTTTGAGGAAAATACGTCATCAATACAAGGCACGGTGAATGTACAGTGAGGAACAGAAGTATTTGAACACCCTGCGATTTTGCAAGTTCTCCCACTTAGAAATCATGGAGGGGTCTGAAATTCACATTGTAGGTGCATTCCCACTCTGAGACAGAATTAAGAAAAAAATTTCAGGAAATTACATTTTTAAAGAATTTATTTGTCTTGCACTGCTGAACATAAGTATTTGAACACCTGAGAAAATCAGTGTTAATATTTGGTACAGAAACCTTTGTTTGCAATTACAGAGGTCAAACGTTTCCTGTAGTTCTTGACCAGGTTTGCACACACTGCAACAGGGATTTTGGCCCACTCCTCCACACAGATCTCCTCTAGATCTGTCAGGTTTCGGGGCTGTCGCTGAGTAACACGGAGTTTAAGCTCCCTCCAATGATGTTCTATTGGATTGAGGTCTGGAGACTGGCTAGGCCACTCCAGAACCTTGATATGCTTCTCCACTCCTTGGTTATCCTGGCTGTGTGCTTCGGGTCGTTGTCATGTTGGAAGACCCAGCCACGACCCATCTTCAATGCTCTGACTGAGGGAAGGAGGTTGTTGCTCAAAATCTCACAATAAATGGCCCCATTCATCCTCTCCTTAATACAGTGCAGACGTCCTGTCCCCTTCGCAGAAAAGCACCCCCACAGCATGATGTTTCCACCCCCATGCTTCACAGTAGGGTTGGTGTTCTTGGGATGCATCTCATCCTTCTTTTTCCTCCAAACACGACGAGTGAAGTTTAGACCAAAAAGTTCTACTTTGGTCTCATCTGACCACATGACTTTCTCCCATGCCTCCTCTGGATCATCCAGATGGTCTTTGGCCAACTTCAGACGGGCCTGGACATGTGATGACTTGAGCAGGGGAACCTTCCGTGCAATGCATGATTTGAAACCATGACAGCGTAGTGTTCTACCGACAGAACTGTGGTCCCAGCTCTCTTCATGTCATTGACCAGCTCCTTCCTTGTAGTTCTGGGCTGATTCCTCACCTTTCTTATCATCAGTGATACCCCACGAGGTGAGATCTTGCATGGCGCCCCAGTCCGAGGGAGACTGACAGTCGTCTTTAGCCTCTTCCATTTTCTAACAATTGCTCCAACAGTTGATCTATTTTCACCAAGCTGCTTGGCAATTGCCCCGTAGCCCTTTCCAGCCTTGTGGAGGTCCACAATTTTGTCTCTGGTTTTCTTTTGACAGCTCTTTGGTCTTGCCCATGGTAGTAGTTGGCGTCTGACTGACTGTGGGGTGGACAGGTGTCTTTAAAGAGCTCAGACAGGTGCTACTAGTTTAGATTAATGAGTGGAGTAGAGGTGGACCTTTTCAAGGCACAGTAACAGGTCTTTGAGAGCCAGAATTCTTGCTGTTTCTCAGGTGTTCAAATACTTATGTTCAGCAGTGCAAGACAAATAAATTCTTTAAAAATCATACAATGTGATTTCCTGAAATTTTTTTTTTCTTAATTCTGTCTCTCAGAGTGGGAATGCACCTACAATGTGAATTTCAGACCCCTCCATGATTTCTAAGTGGGAGAACTTGCAAAAATCGCAGGGTGTTTAAATACTTCTGTTCCTCACTGTATTGGTGAGTGTGCGTTAACTTTTTTGTGGGGGGTGTGCAGTGCAGACAGAAAAGTCACACAAGAGGAAGAGAGAGTCCCCTTAACGGCGTTGTCGCAACTGCTAGAATCAGAGTAAGAACAGAAGGTAGTGCAGAACAGGGTGACAGCAGTAACTGTGAGATGTGCTGCCACTGGTCTTTCTGTTGTTAAAGCACTGGGTACGGCCTCCCGATTCAGGTATGATTTGGTATAACAGCGGTTACCTATTACGTTCGGTGTAGGCGCCAGGTTTTATGTTATGTGTTGTTGTATTTTATTCTTGTATTTTGTGAATGTGTCAAGGATGTCATTTGATCTGACTGCAAGACAAATTTACCTACGGGTATAAATAAAGTAACCTAACCTAACCTTTAGAGCTTGCAGTCTGGCCTGTTCCTCCTCCAAGGCCTGCTGCTTCTCCTTCTCATCCATGCGGCTGAAGGACATGCCAGTGGAGGAGAGAGATGAAACAGCACTGGACAGGGTGGATGCTCTGCAAGACAAAACAAAAATAGTTCTTATTTTTTTCCTCAGCTGTTCTAATCTACTGTGAAACAGGTTCTCTCTCTCCGAGTTCTGGTTGTGATACACTTCAAGAAAACCTGATGCAACTGGCAAGCAATTAAGACACCTACCTTGTATCTGCATTCAATTCCTTGGTCTTCTTACCCTCCAGAGAAGCCAGGTGCTGCTCTAAAGCTTCCAGGAGACTGCTGGGGGCCTGGGAGAGAAATGAATATAAGTAAAAGGAGAAAATAAATTGACTTTCAAACTCATTCCCTTTTTCTGTTTGTCTAAAATACTCAAAAAAAAGACCTGCCTACACATAGTTACATACAAAACACATAGAGCACTCAGAGTTAGTTGGTCTCGCACAAAGGTAACAGAGTGCATCAGGCTCCAAGAATAGTCATAGCAACATGCAGCAAACACTCACACTTTTAGCAGGAGACTCAAAAGAGAGAGAACAAAGGAGGAGGTTCAAAAACAAAGAGTAAGAAAAAAGGTGGAGTGGAGGAGAGGTCGCACCAGTTCTTCTCCTGACGTCAGATGAGCAAAGGGTGACAGTTTCTTTAACTGTTCCATTCAAATTTCCTTTTCTGTGTTTTACCTCTTTGTCTTGCACCGTGAGGCCCTGTCACCCCTGCACAATGAGTGCCAGGATGTACTCTGTATCTGTCTTGCCAGTACATTTCTCCTCTTGTATCTGAACATTTGTTCCAACAGGGGATAGAGATCATGCTGTAATCATTTTACCTTGTCTTAATAACTTAACCAGAAAATGTGTGGGGCCAAAAGCCTCTAAAATGCTTCCTGCTGTAAGATGGCATAAGGCAGCCACATTAAATTTGAACTAAACCGTTCTGGATTGCAAGTTAGTGAGTAGGTTGCTTGGGGATTGTTGCTGTGCTACTAAAGAAAAGTAGTTCTGATGCAAATTCAAGTTCAGCTCCAACTGTTCACGTAGCTCAACACAATGCGCTCGTTAGGTGCCTCATTATTGCTCAAAAACCATGGGAAACAAGAGTGCAAAAGCAAGCAACACGGCTGCATTATCAAGCGTACAATCATAGCACATCTACAACTTAACATGCAGGGGGGGGAAGTCCAGTTCTTTTCTGGCTAAGGAGAGAGGAAATTCTTCCACTGTGAAAATATGACAATGTTATGTCTGTCTCTCCATCTGCAAAAACGAACAGCGTGTTGTCAGCAGGGCTGCAGACATCCACAGAAACACACACATTCAGTAGTGTTTTGGCTTCTGAGCCCCTTGCAGCTGCCTAGACAGTGGGTTCTTGCCAAATTGTCACCTAGATGCTAAAGCAATAGTGTCTCAGAAGAAAAAAAGGACCATATTTAACTGTCAGTGGGATTGAATGGTTGAAAAGAAGACTTCGTGCTAGCCAAGTCAATATTAGGACTGACGCACAGAGAGAATCAACCAAGTGTCAGTTTCTCCCTGTCTCTTGACATCTAAAGATACTGAGTCAAAGCTTTAACTTTGAAAGGCAGGGAGGAAAAAGTCGTCACATCTTTCTTCTCTCTCATGTTTCCTTTCTTTTTACAATTATAACACGGTAATGGTCGGGTCAGTCACTACTACAGCACCTCTGCCATGCATGTTGCAGCAATCATGTCGTGCATAAGAAATATGAACTAAACAACATCTGAGGAGGGGATGGAATTTAAATGAGCAAGTCGAAACCCGGTGCAGGGATTCTCTCATGCAGATGAAGATGAGGGTTGGAAGGGTGAAGTCTCATTTTCTATTCATGAGGTTTCATGGCCTTTTGCTTGTTGTGCCAGAACTGTGTGCCTGCAGGTTGGCGTGTGTGTTTTGAAAGCTACAAGCAAGCCACCTGAGGCCAACGCACACACACATACTACACTGAGTCAACACCATATCGCTGCTCAGTTAAAAAACAAACAAACAAACCAACCAACCAACCATACCTGGGAATGCATGAGCACATATGTTTACAGACACACATATATGAGCAAGTATGATGTTCAAGCCGGGGGTGGAGGGTAAGCAGGTTGGAGGGGGTAAGCAGTACAGTGTGTAACCCACCACCTACAATGTATGATCCTTTTGTTTTCTGTGACAGAGGAGGGGAGAAGGAAAACGTCGTATTTAACGACTACAGCAAACTGTGCTCTTTCACCACACGTTCAACACCCACACAGTCAATCTACATGCTGCTAACGTCCAGCTTTACACTCTAATAACTTTTTAGTAATGCAGACCAAGGTCATGTTCCACTGAGGCTGTAACATATTACACAGCTGTGTGTCTGTGTGTGTAATCTTTCATTGTTATGGCAGAAAAGCAACCATGTTGTCAACTTTTCAATATCAGTATGTGCCAAAGTACCTATAGCAAACCTAGAGCTGGAACTCATCAATTATTGTTAGGGATGCATAAGGAGCATGACATGTTTGAAATATAACTATTTCTGATGATTCTGAAAAGGTGTAAATAATTCTGCCCAGTCCAGTTTTACAGTTCTGTGTGAAATGTATCAGATTTGGCTTTTTTCCTCTCTCAGATTGTTTGTGTTGCTCAAATGCAAACTAAACATGAGAATACCAAAGAATTTGTGATCGCAGCAATTTTCTGGGAGAACTGGTGTGTTATCTGACAGACAGGTGTGTTATTCTGAGAGATAGCTCATATAATTAAGCTGAAGCTAGACTTAAAAAATGAAATCTATGATTTTTCAGTCTGATGTGCATCTCCATGTATGCTAGTATAACCAGAGAAATCTGCTGCCTCTCTTAGATCCTCCCAACCCTTAAGAATACAAAGCATGCATGAAGTGCTTCATCTGAACTCACAATCAGGCAAAAATGCAAACTTAGCTTTGACAACTAAAATCAGAAACAATGTAGTTTATTCCCTTGTAGTGCCGCCGTCTTGTTTTTCAAGCCCTTTGTTATTGCTGTTATTTTTTGTAGAAGGTCTAAGTTTATTGTTTGCAGTTACCCAGGGATTTCAAATCCACGTGATGAAGCCTGCATTAAGCCTGCTGATTGCACAGCAGGCCAGCTTAACACACCTCAGCCTGTTTGTTGGATCTATGAGCATTTAGAAGTGAAAGAGATAGCAGGAAAGCAAAATCAATCAAATCAGAAGGGAGCTGCCTAGATTAAGATCAGGTTAGAGGAGATGGTGCTTTGAAATAAAAACAAGGAGTTGGTGAAGTGAGGTAAAAGGAACGAGTGAACAACTGTAGGTGTAGCGTTGAGATAAGGCATGAGTTCATGGACTAAAGCACAGACAGAGCAATAAAACCACATGTAGTGCTCAAGGGAAAAAAATGTGAGGAAAGAGAAAGAATGAAAATGTGAGAATAAAGACAAAAAAGTGGAAGGTGAGATGTACACTGACCTGTGAGAGATCTGGGATGTCACCCTGATCTATTCCAACTTGCTGTCATCAAAAAACAAACAAAATAAAGGGGAGGAAGGTAGGTGGGATTAAATGAAAAAAGAAAAATAAAGAGAAGGGCGGGGTCCATTTGGAAAAAAGATGAAAAAAGAAAAAACAAAACAGGAATCATTACTCCATGCAGTGGTAAAGTCAACATAAATGACAACAGAAATAAACAAGAAAAAAGTCTGACATCTGGATCGGCCAATACGACAACCGATCCTCACAGCAAATGGTGATGATGACTGCACAGTGATAAGTATGTTTGACCAATGAGAGAGAGCGGGCATGGGGACTTATGATTAACGATGTAACAACAATTAAAACATTTTTTTTTTAAAAAAGGACACCTACAACAAAATCATCTTAAGACAGAAAACGTGAGTGAAAAGTGTAGTCCTGGACTTTTTAATAATCACCAACATGACCAACATCAGAAAATATAAATAAGAGTTGATAAAAGTGCACTCCTACTACCTTATAGACATCATGCTCTTGCTGTTTTGTGTGTGTTTGTGTGTGTACACACCAATCTGTTAAATTATATCTATAAAAAAGGAACACATTATCCAGGGGGCTCCTCAAAACCTAATTATAATAAACAAAGGAATTTAATTAGGACTATTTATTTGAATGTACATTAATGCAAAGGATGTGCACCATGAGTGTAGTTTCCTCTGCTGACTTTACAGTAGCTGATTCTCATTCTTTCAACACTGCTGAAACAAAGGAGGGAGGGAAGGAAGGAAGAAGGCATGAGAGGAGAGAAAGAAAGAGGAATGATCTGTGGGCACGGGGCGAGGGAGAGCCGCACGAGGATCCATCTTTGTCAAGGAGAGAGGGAAGAGCGAGGGAGAAGAAAGGATTTGATGGAGGAGTGCGGGGAACGGAGGGAGAGGGAGTTAACGAAGCACCTAACCACGTCCTCCATCTTAGGGTTATTTTGGGTGCATGTGTAAATGTCTGCACAGCAAATGTGGGGCAGTGAGGGTAAGTTAAGTACGCTCGTCTACACAGAGCTGAGTGAGCCAAATTGTGCCAGTAGTCTTCATGTGGAAAAATACACTTTATATAGCAGTGTTTGATCACGTGTGTGTATATTTGTTTACCATCTATGAAAGCGTGTGTAAATGTGATCAGAAGAAGAAACAGAGAAGAAATAAAGAAAAGGATCAATCTGAATGGAGCTGTAGCGCTGAAAACAAATTCTACAGGTAAAAACTGATGTGTCTGTAGAGTTGTGTACTTTTATGTGTGTGAGAATATACCTCAGCCACTTTGAGGAACTCTGACAGCTTTGTCATCCTGTAAAGGAATTTCTTGTAGATGTCCAGAGCATCTTTACACTGGTTCTTCTTCATGTCAAAGTATTTCTCTGCAGAGACAGAAAGGAGGAGGGGGATAAGAAACAGAAAGGAAAATTTTTAAAAAGAAAAGGAAAGAGGAGAGGAAAGAAAAACCAGGCAGGAACAATCAGTGGATGACTGAGTGAAGACAAACACAAGCACTTAGCAGCTACAGTACATGACAGCTTGTCAAAATGTACTTGCTGTAACCAGACTGTGTGTGTGTGTGTGTGTGTGCGCGCGCGCTGATGTTGGATGTGTGTTTACATATCTGCCAGACACGAGCGTGTCTGTACATGCAAAACAAACTGCGGCTCATCATTTCTGCCACATCTAGGAGAGTGCCATTTGGCTCACTGTATTTATCCTGTGAGTGTGTGTGCATGTTCATATGCGAGTGTGTGTTACCCAGCAGGTTGATGACCCCTTCATTGTAAGCAGCAAACAGCCTTATGGAGTCTTTGAAGAGCAGTATGAAGGCTGAGTTGATCACTCCGTTGGTCAGCTCATTAGGGTTGGCCTGGAGAGAACAGAGGGGGAGAGAGGGGTAAGTTACATCTATCAAAAACATTCTCACAAGGAGAAACCATCTCTTTCAGATAGCCACCAACATCTTTCTGCAAAATCTAGAACCTCTCTGCCATTGTGTAAAGCCAACACATCAGCACACACTGAGCGACTGTCAGTTTAGTTTAGGCGAGGAAAAGGTTCATACTGCATGCAACACACACAGACACTCAAACAGCGCTCGCACATGTAGTATGCATTTCACTGACAAGCCTCATCAGTGCTCCTTGGCACAAACCATAGTGAAACCACCAATTTCAGTAAAATCCCTTCTCCCCTCTGTGCACACACTCAAAACACATGTTCTAAAAAATGAAATCTGTCACCATAATATGCTTCCTACATTCAGTATTGTGAGGTTTGCAAACTCTTGTTTTAATTTACATTTTGATTAGAGTGAATCGACCACAACTTTGACACACACACACACACACACACACACACACTCAGTCAGTCAGTACCTGGAAATCCAGCAGAGCATCCAGCTGGTTCTGAATAATGGGCAGCGTTTTGATCAGCTTCTCTGTGTTCATGGTACGCATCACTCCGTCAATCCTGACAAGACAGGAAACAAACACACACAGTTGTTAGCAGGCACCTTGTTGATGCAAATTGGTATTTAAATTCTAATGCAAATTAACGGAAAAAAAAAAGGAATGAAGAAATTATGGGAAGTACAAAAGGAAAATACTGTTTTGCATACAAAAGTTTGGACTGCTACTTGAGGTGAAAGGTTTGCAGCAAATCATGACTGAAACACATTTTCCCAATAAATAATGAGAATCTGCTCAGCAGGGTCAGCATGACAGACGATTCAAAGTCATTTCGCAAGAACCGGACTCTGTGAAATTGAAATACCTTGACTACACAACATCCAAAAACGAGGAACCCGCTGTCACTCTCATACAGAAGTCTCCAGCAAGCCTGCACTACCATGTGCATTTATTTCTTTTCATATGAGGCTTTCAACAGAACTCTTTCTTTAAAAGATCACCAAGTGCACTCATTCTTTCTAACACATGGTCTATAAGAATAGCAACTGAATTCAAATCCTTAAAGACTATTCTTTCCATGAATGACTCGCAACTATACTAAAAGAAAATTTATATTGCATCAAAATAAGTGAAACACAAAAGAAATCTGTCATCCGTTTGTCATCATCGCTTCTCTAGTGCAAAAAGCTCTGGGTGTGTAAAGTGTCAGTTATAACCGTGTATGCGACCTCCTTTACCCTCGTTTCATCTTGGTGAAATCCACAGCCACCAGTCGGTAGGACATGGCCTTCTCGTTCAGGTAACGGCTGTATCTTCTGATAAAGGTTGACATGTCGTAACCTGGGATGGGAAAAAGTGAGGAGAGAAAGTCAGAAAAAAAAGGCAGCAAACTGAGGCTGTTATGTGACAGAGCTACAAATGACTTCTACCATTTGTTACATAAATCCTTTTACATATATATTATGCAGTATGTGTGTCATAGCATCAAATAAACACACAAAAACCAGTTTTTGTAAAATACTTTCCCCTGATTGTCTAAAAAACTGTGGTAGTCATTTGAGGCTAATCCCGCCCACTCAGCTCTTAAAACCAAATTAAAACCAAGTAAAAACACGGTGCATTTTGGAGACTAAAATATGAATAAGATCATTTTACCTTGCAGAGCTCCCTTATCCAGGAAGTTGTTCAAGTTAAACAGAGTGTTTCTGGAGGCCAGGTACTGTATGAAACGCTGTGATAAAGACAAAAGTTATTGCTCAGTGAAATTAAGTTTTAAGACAAATTGCAAAATGAAACATAAAACAGGTGGCCATTCATGAAACAATAAACTTTAGAGAAAATATTTTATTGGTTTTATTTATTTGGTATCAGAGTTTCCTGCCTGAAATCTGTGTGGTGTTTGTAACAAGCTGGGTACTAGTGAGTCGAATACTCTTTTTCCTCACAGAATATCAAAATGATTCACCTCAATTTTCTCTAGTGGATGTTGTCACTATCCCACAGCAATAGACAGCATTGTGAAGAAGTTACCTGGTCTGTGCAAAAGCATTAGGTGTGAATCCTAATAGTGATGAAAACACACATGCTCATTTGAGGTATAAGCCTGACAGCGAGACCTTCAGTGTCTG